ACATTTTATCATTATTATATACAAATTACGTAATTTAAATCATTCGTTTTTTTTATTTCAAATCATCTATTGGCTATACAAATATTTTAAGTTTTTAAAACATTTTGTAAAAATTTATACCTTTCTTGGATCTTTTATTCAATCTCCTTAAGCTCTTTAATTAAACAACTTCATCCTATTGACTGAACTCATTAAAATGATTGAATAATTATTGATTAAAATTATTTAATAATTAGATACTTAGAGTATTTTAATGACTTATTAAAATTCAATTTTACTTAATTTATATGAATTCAATTTGACTGTAGTCAAATTTAAAAGTCAGAAATATTGCTTTTTTGTACCAAATACATATTCATCATACTAGTTTATGTTTTATTCAATTCTTATGACTTTCTATTGCTCCTATTCTCCTCCAATTTTTTCCATACCAAATCTTACTTAGTACTTTCGAAGTTTATTCTATTATTCTTCTTCTGCTTTTAATACACTTATATAAAATCAACTTGAAGTTGGTAACGTATAACGAGTCCTTTTACATAATGTTGATTGCTAGCTAAAATTAATTGGTTAATTTTATAATACTAAGTTAAAAAAGTCCTCTACTAATATCCTCAACTTGTAAGGTCTCATTTTTCGATAACTTCATACATAATTTGTTGAAGTTCTCCACTCTTCTTTAATGATAATTTTTGGAAACTTCCAAATAATTCTAATTAAACAGTATTTCTTATTTTTTTTTTCAAGATATTTCTTACTATATTTCAAGCTAAACATTTTCAACCACATAATCATAATACTTAAGCAGAACTTAAGATAATAATTTTACATCATCTAAATCGCAAATAAATATAAGTTTAAGCACATATCATAACTTTATTGTTCAGAATTTTTGAAATTTATAAACAACTTAATAATTTCAATCTTTTAGTTTTATAATATATTGTTTTTACTTAAAATCAAACTAGTTTTTAATTCCTTTCGATTAGAGCTAGTTCTATTTATCAAATTTGATTTTGATTTTCCTATATTCATAAATGAATATAAAAGTTAATTTTTTTAAATTCCAAATGACAAGAAAAAGAAACAATTTGAGCTAACGAATATAAAGGTTCTAAATAATCAACATCGACTTACTACTAGATGAACAAGGAGGACTCCCTAGCTGCCGAATGTATTACAAGATCATTTATAGAGAAGGGGAATAGAGAGAACCCCATCTTAAAAACATTATTCACTGGAAGATCCGAGCCAAGAGAAGCTGGAAACTTGAGAGTATGTTTTGCGATTTAGGAAAACTAAACTTAAAAAGAATAACAATACTACTTAAAACAGTAATATTATTCAGTTATCCAAATTTTGGTTACTTCCATATACAAAATACTAGCTTATTTAATTTACTTTGATTATTTTTAAGGAATAGCTCCTGATCAAGGATAATCTCATTTGCTATTGTATCTTAAATATCTATATTTCTAGTCTAAGCCTCTTTAGAAATTAAATTCAAAATATTGCTAGCTATTTATAACAAATTCAATATTGATTTTAGCAATTCAAAAAAAAAATATTAGTGTATTCATAATTATTATTTTAGTTAATTTATACAATTAAAGTAATTTGATATAATCATTCTATTCTCAAACCTTTAATTCTTTTGATAATTGATTCTCCCTTTATCATCAAAGGTAGAATAAGCTTTACTCAAAAATTTAACATCCTCCTTACATTTTGCACTTCTCAAATTAAGATCTAAAGCTATTTCTTTTAGAAATTTTGTTTCTAAAAATTTTGCAATATTTCTAAATATTCAAAAAATATTTCTAATATGGAATTTCTCAATTCATTTTTTGAGGCTATCGATACAAGGGAAATATTATCTTGATAAAACTAAGTGGATGGAAGAATACATTAGTGAATTAACTAAGGCTTCTTCTATTTTAAAGCGTGATTTTATTGGTTATATATTTGTTTTTAAGAGTTAAAATTTCACTTGTATTGTCATATTAAGGTAAATTTTAGTAAATTATTTTTATTCACCGTATTTTTTTCTGTATTTCAAGTGCCTCAGTAAGGTCTACTCAAATAGTAACTTCGCAAAGTTCCCTAAGCAAATCTGTTTGCTATTTAGTGTAAACACCTAAACATACTTTTTAAATTATTTCTAGAATAATGTAATTTAAAATTTTAATTCTAATATCATTTTAGATGTTTAAAACAATGATGCTTTGAAATTCATGAGTTTATGTAAATTTGAATTTGAAAGTACTGGTATCTTAAATATAGTTTTTTTTATCTGGAAATTATCATTATTTATTTTAATTATTAGTTTATGAGTTAATTCTAGCAAACAGTCTTGTAAATCTCACGAATGATAATAAGAAGATTTTTAGCAAGTATTCTGATATATTAGTATTTTCTCAATAAATTCATAAAACTTAGTTTTTAGAGACTTTCATTAAAGATTTTATTTTTAATTTGTGCCCATCTATCTCAATTACGAAAAATAATTTCTTTCAAGCAATTTTTAAGTTTGATTCCAAAATTATTAAGAAGGTTGAAAAAATTCTATAGATTTTACGATAGCATAGAGCTTTATAACTCATTAACCTCTAGATTTTTGAATTTAATGGCAAAATAAGTGATTAATTATCCTCCCAAATTTTATCTCTTGAAAATTTATTCTAGATAATTAATAATGGTGACATCAAAATAACCAATAAAAAATGGCAAAAACTTATTTATTTAGAAACCTTTCCCATAAATCGCTATTTAATCTAATTTTCAAATGAAAGAGTCTTATCACACTAATTATTCTATTTAGTTGTTTCATAGGTATAAAACTATGTTTTCATGTATGATAATTATCCAAAAATAATTATTGATGTTGCTCTTAAATTATTTTCTTTTGTTCTTTCAGAATTCAAAAGTAAGTCTATTCATCTTGATTATTAGTGAGATGAATAAGAAGAGTTAAGGGTTTTCCTAATTTTAGTTAATTGAAATACCTTATTGAGTTAATGAAATATTTATATTAAAGAATTTTAAATCAATTCCACAGTAATTATTAAACGCTCAGTATTCTCAAAAACATAGTAATCAACCCCTAATAATATCATAATAGTATCCTTAGTAATTTTCCTCATAATAGTAACCTTATCATAAATAACAATTATATCCACAATTAAAATAATATTACATGTTATTTAAAATTCGAAAATTGATTGAATCGCAAACGATCAAAGAAATTTGGAATAATTACTAATTTTCTGAATCAATTCTGATAGCATTTACTTGTATCAATAATTTTAGCAACCCATCCAACAGTAAACCAATCAAAAATAGATCTTAAATCAACATAATGATGCCTTTCCTTAAGATGAATAATATAATTTGTAAATGTGAGTTTTTAGAAAAACCTCCAAGGGATGATTATAACCTTGAATTCAATTAGAGAAGTTGTTTATAAACCCTTCAATTATTTGTTATTTTGTAAGCCAGCTTCTCATATATATTCAAATCTATTAATTAATTCATATGGGTATAATGCAAAACTATCGAATAAATATTATTTTCTTAAATAACATTGATTCTATAGATTTTAATGTAAAATATAAGTTATCTACTTCAATTTAAAGAAAGCACTTTCCTGCAATACTTATTGATGAAATGAAAAAATTAAAGTTTCGTAATTGGAAACCTCTACAACAATGAAATTTCTGATTAGACAGTTTGATTAACAAAGCTACCAGGTAATTTAATTCAATTAAATATTTTCATCGTTATATATGATCATATTAAATTTTACAATTTACGCAATTTAGACAAAAATCTATTGCTTATCTTATCGCATCATATTTTTGAGGTAAATTAATTATATTAGCCAATTTTTTATTTTCACTATAAAAGAATAATTAGAATTTTAGAGCAATTTGGAAGGTAATACTATTACTGAGATGATCACTTTCTTGTTAATAACAACATGAAGTCTATACAGACTAGTACAATTCTTAATCTAAAGTGATTTGAAACTCAAAATCTCTACCTATTTAAGTATAACATTCTTACTATTCGAAAATATGGCTATAATTGCTTTTATTGTAATACGTTTTGGTTACGGATTTTATTCGAAACACAATTTATTTGAGACAGTGGCAAACAGATCTACTTTAAATTAAAACTATTAGCATATAAAAATTAATTTGTTATTGTAGATACTAATGACATTATCGGCTAAACAAGAATTGTAATTCTAGAACTCTCTTTAAAGTTAGTATTGAAGTAGTACAGAGGTCCAAAATATAAGAAAAATAATTGAACAAATAACACTATCCTTTTTAGTATAAACTATTATGATCAATATAGACTTTATAGAGTAAAATAAACCTTATCAGACATAAGTCTATATTAAATGATTTATTCTAAAATGATAGAAAAAGAGGAGGATCTTCATTGTAGTTTAAAACATCAACTTCCTATTTTAATGGTTAATTGTGATGCAAATTTAAAGAAGAATGAAAGACTATTATGTCCTGAATGTATGGAAAATTTGGAATCAATAGCCTAATTAATGAGTTTTAAGAAAATTAATTAATATATTCAAGAAATACAAAACTACAAGAAAGAATACATTGAGGATGTGATTAAAATCAACACGAAACAGATTGAATAACTCTAAAAAGAATTTTAGAAATTAAAATCAAATGTTATTCAATAATTAGATATTTTAACTGGAAATATTGATGAATGGATCAAAAATGTATAAATAATTGGATAAGAAAATGTTACTTATAGTTTTTTTGATGAATTGGAAAATATTATTAGCAAAACAAAGGCCAATGATTTCAATTAGAATTTAATAATTGATTAAATTAATTAAATCAACTAAACATGGTATCAAAAGATTATTATTAAACTAAATTTTGTTTCAATAATTTTAGGAAAATGAATTATGTGATGATATATTAAAACAACTGGGAAAATTAGATTAAATAAAAGAGAATATCCTAAAATCAGAAAAGCTGTAGATTTTACAAAATCATGAATAGAATTAATTTAAAAAATAATAGATTATGGATGAATAAGTTGAATTGAAATTAATTGATGATTCAAATAAATAGAGTTCAAAATGTAATGCAATAGTTTTTGATAGCACTGGATCAATAATGATTTCATGTGATAAAGAATAGATAAAAATTTGGAATTTAGATTAAGGAAGATTTACTAAATAGAGTTCTTATACTGCCCATAAAAGCGATGTCACATGTTTAGAATATAGCAAAAATAACAATAATTTTATTTCTGGTTCATTAGACAAAAAAATAATCTGTTGGAAATAAATTAACCAAAAGGAGTGGAAGTTTTCAGAACCATATGAATGTGAAAATAAAATTTATTGTTTTATTTTAAATAAATAAGAGGATCAACTTATTTTAGGAGGAGTTAATCTTTAAATTTAAATTTGGTAGGTCGATTTTATCAAGAACGAGATGTCATTTTTGTATTCCTTAGATAAACATGGCAACTCTATATTTTCTTTAAGTTTTAATTAATATGAAACTGTATTGGTATCGTGTGGATATCATGAATTTATTTTATGGGAAAAAGGCCTAGAGGGAAAATGGGAGTATAAAGATATCCTTGAATAGATTAAGTATTTATTGATAAATTTATTATAATGCATAACATAACATACATAAATTGAATGTTCTAAGAACGAAATCTTACTTTTAATTTCACCTAGTATAAAAAAATGATGGTACAAATTGCTGGAGAGAAAATTATCTTTACTCACGATTAACAATTACTATGGGTACCGTTAGATTTATATATTAATGATCTATTTGTATTTGAATCATAGAATGGAGCTTTTTAGTTGAATTCAAGCAAAACGATCACTTTAATTAGGAATCATTAATGTCAGGATTCTGATTACTTTCCAATTCTATACAATAAAGATAGAAACATTATAATGATAAGACACAAGCATCATATTTATTTAATAAGAGAACTGAATGATTTAAGATTGCTGCAAAATTAAATATTTAATGTCATGAAATTTATGGGACCATAACCAATGATGGATAATATTTAGTTTATTGGGATTCAAAAAGTAAACAATATTCAGCATATGAGATATTATTTAAATAAATCAATAGGGATCTAAAAATGATATTATTAATAATTAATTTACCTTCTTATAATTAAAAAATTTAGTAATGAAATCCGCATTTATCATTAAATTAATTAAAGAGAGCCATAAATAGTAACAATTATATGAGAATTAAAGATGTTAAAAAATAAAAAAAAATTACATTAGCTCATTTCTATTATGTTCATTTCAATATCGTGAGAAGATCTGCTAAAATTTATTCTCACTTTTAATACATAAAAACAAAGTTATAGTTTAAATTAAGATTATACAAGAAAATCCAAGATTCCAGAAACCAGATAAATCAGAATAATATAAAGAATGAAATATCTATCAACTTTGAGAATGAGCGACAGAATCATTTAGATGATAAAGCTCAATAATATTATTAAATTCTTTACTAATGACAAATGTTTAGACTTTTTATCAATTAATTCATCACTCATAAGAACTTTAAAAATAGCATTTCAATCAAGAATCATTTTTACAACTGTATTAACCTCATTTCCTATAGCTTATTACTTATAGTATATTATAGAAATATTTAACAATTAACTTAAAACCAAGTATTAAAACCACATAAGCTAGTTTTCCAATTTAGGGAAACTTGAATTTTGATTTAATCAATAAGATATTGTTATCTTTAATATATTCTATTAGAAATAGTGATAGACTAAATTCTCTAAGAGTTTCTGATTTTAAGCTTAATTAAATTATCATAATTACTTATATTCTACACAAAATTCTATGATATGATTTCTCAATTAAACTTCAATTACTTGTACACTACCAATTAAAATATCAACCCCATCAGGTGAAACATGTTTAAAATGTTAGAAATTTTAAGATTTTAACAAAATATATGACTGAAGAAGCCAAGAACTCTGAAAGTCAAAATGATGCAAATAAACTAAAGGTAAATACTTCTCTCTTATTCAAATTTAACTATGATATATTTTATAAGGAATTCCTTTCACCATCTAGATGTATTCCCTACTCAAAATAATATAGTTCCTAACGATTACATTAAATTAAAGATATTTCTGTGAAACTTGATGCTTTACAAAATTTAGAGTCACCTTAATTCTTTGCTTTGGAGGTTACTTAAATTAAATATCTCTTAATTATTGATGATATTCTAATTAGTGAGAAGCATATTAAAAGTAATTCTTTGAGAGCANTTAAGATTGCTGCAAAATTAAATATTTAATGTCATGAAATTTATGGGACCATAACCAATGATGGATAATATTTAGTTTATTGGGATTCAAAAAGTAAACAATATTCAGCATATGAGATATTATTTAAATAAATCAATAGGGATCTAAAAATGATATTATTAATAATTAATTTACCTTCTTATAATTAAAAAATTTAGTAATGAAATCCGCATTTATCATTAAATTAATTAAAGAGAGCCATAAATAGTAACAATTATATGAGAATTAAAGATGTTAAAAAATAAAAAAAAATTACATTAGCTCATTTCTATTATGTTCATTTCAATATCGTGAGAAGATCTGCTAAAATTTATTCTCACTTTTAATACATAAAAACAAAGTTATAGTTTAAATTAAGATTATACAAGAAAATCCAAGATTCCAGAAACCAGATAAATCAGAATAATATAAAGAATGAAATATCTATCAACTTTGAGAATGAGCGACAGAATCATTTAGATGATAAAGCTCAATAATATTATTAAATTCTTTACTAATGACAAATGTTTAGACTTTTTATCAATTAATTCATCACTCATAAGAACTTTAAAAATAGCATTTCAATCAAGAATCATTTTTACAACTGTATTAACCTCATTTCCTATAGCTTATTACTTATAGTATATTATAGAAATATTTAACAATTAACTTAAAACCAAGTATTAAAACCACATAAGCTAGTTTTCCAATTTAGGGAAACTTGAATTTTGATTTAATCAATAAGATATTGTTATCTTTAATATATTCTATTAGAAATAGTGATAGACTAAATTCTCTAAGAGTTTCTGATTTTAAGCTTAATTAAATTATCATAATTACTTATATTCTACACAAAATTCTATGATATGATTTCTCAATTAAACTTCAATTACTTGTACACTACCAATTAAAATATCAACCCCATCAGGTGAAACATGTTTAAAATGTTAGAAATTTTAAGATTTTAACAAAATATATGACTGAAGAAGCCAAGAACTCTGAAAGTCAAAATGATGCAAATAAACTAAAGGTAAATACTTCTCTCTTATTCAAATTTAACTATGATATATTTTATAAGGAATTCCTTTCACCATCTAGATGTATTCCCTACTCAAAATAATATAGTTCCTAACGATTACATTAAATTAAAGATATTTCTGTGAAACTTGATGCTTTACAAAATTTAGAGTCACCTTAATTCTTTGCTTTGGAGGTTACTTAAATTAAATATCTCTTAATTATTGATGATATTCTAATTAGTGAGAAGCATATTAAAAGTAATTCTTTGAGAGCAAAACTTATGAAGTTTAAGAATATATATGACTAAAGATAAACTTGAAAATAATATTATCAATGTTAATACAAGTATTTAATATATAATTATTTTTGCTGCAGTGGAGTTAATAAAGAGATTAAAGAGGAAAATGGAAAATTATTTGTAATTTATATGGGTGATATAAGAGAAAAAACAGAAAACTGAGTTATTAAACCTTATAACTTAATTAAAAAGAGTGGAGTAGAAGTTTAAGATCAATATGTAAACTAATATTCATTATTTACCTAATAGAAAATTGTAACTAATTTTTATTTGTAATACTATTTATTTTATTATTATCATTTCATATATATTTTTCCTTTTTTGGAAACTAAATTAAATTTAAAACATTAATTGAAAATTATCCAAGCATGTCTAATTAGTAGTTTATACTTATAAATTTCCTCTATTGAATGATTAATATTTCATTTTCATTACAATAAAGTTGGATGTCTAAATAATTAATAATATTTAATCCACACTACCCAAAAGACATCAAAATTTTTTCTTAATTTTTTAATGCTAAGACTTCTTCAGATAGTTATTGACAAATTAGATTAGGGTTTTTATATTCAAAAATGATTATATTCTTTTTGTAGTTCACTTTCTTCGCATTACTTTTTTTCAAGGTGTATATTGTTTATTTGATCAAAATAACATTTCAAATACTAGTTTCCAATTTAAAATAAATTGTAGTCTGAATTAAAGCTCTTATAATACTAGATTTTATCAGAAATTTTAAATTGTGGTGCCAAGCTTACTAGCAGCTTCTACACTAACAGGGACTATTATTTAACTCATAGTAACTGTAGGTATAATCTCCTATGCAGATGCATTAAGTGTGATGCACCCTGGTTCGAATGACCATAACCCAGTCAGCAAGCAGTTATTATTTATAAATAAAGGTAAATATAAATTTAAAAGAAATGATGTCACCAAGAAATTACTCCAAAGAAGTAAATTATAGTCAGTTTAGTCTAGATAAAGCAAATTCAAATTAAATCCTTGTTTGATATACTCTTTTCATCTAAACAGACAGATCTGTAGATCAACTAAGTTAAGAAACAGGCTAAATATGGTTAAAAGTTTAATAATTTCTCCATCATAGAATAAGGAAAAGATATTTATCTTTAATAATTTTTCTTCAACTTTTTCTTCTATTGAAGGTAAATGACAAAAAGAATTTATGACTAAATAAAAATAATTTATATTAAATACTTGTTTTATTGATTTTGAATGAATTCACAATTTATTTAAATGTTAAAAGATTAAAGAATGAATTAATTATTTGTTCAAATTCCTATTTAATATTTATAATCATTATACTAAATATTACTGAGTTTGAAACTAACCGTAGTGATATAATCTAAACATAGACATTTTTTTGTTTTAGAATTATTGTCATTCCTATTTATAATGTTGGATTATATAATTTTTACTGAAGATAAATCATTCGCTTCTCTAATCATTTTCTGATGATATTTGGCATGGACCTTAAAAGATAAGATCCAGAGACTTCTAACAAGCATGAATTATTCCCACTCAATCTTGGGTGGTATTCTTACTCAAAGGATTGAATATAAACACATGTAAGATATCAAGAACATCTCAAACTAAGTTTATAATATAATTGTAAGCTGACATCTTCAAATAAGGTTTTGCATATTTCCAATTCATTTACATCTACGATTTTAGACTTCTTTTACTATTAGTTTGTCTTCAATTTATATGCTTGTATTATCTTTCTTGACCTTCTAATCTTTAAATGTATTTCCTTAAGATAATAAAATTAACATTTAGAGCCTCTGGTTAGCCTTTAGGTGATGAGAATATAATAATCATTGGTTGCCAAATGGAAGTCCATGAAAGAAGGAGTTGGAATAGCTTCCTCATATCCATCCATACATAGCAGCTACTTTACTGGCCAGGATATCACACAATAGTAGAAGGAATCAAAAATAAAAACCTAGTGTCAAGGCTTGGAGAAGAGAGGACCCTGAGAGAGTAATTATGTTCGATACCCCATGTACAGCTCTTGGGAGGAACTTATCAAATTTGATTGACGCACTAAGAAATATTGGAACTGATTTTGACTAACCTATATACATAATTATTATGTATATCTTTCATCTCTTCTTGAATTCTAGATTATCTCTATCCATCCATTTGTCCATCTAGGAATATCAATATTTGTTTCTTCTCCTTTTCTTTATCAACTGGATATTTGAAAATTATAAAAATAAACAATTTTAAAAATGAGTAATTTTACTATATACTTCAAATAAGATTAAATTTTTCTTAAAAGTCGACAAATGGAACACTAAAATATTTTTCAATATTACTCAAGTGATTAGACTTTTTCTCAATATTACTCAAATTGATTTATAAGCTTTGAAAGTGTTTTATAGAATAGTTTCCAATTCATATTAGGAAAGGAAACTTCTAAGTATAATAATCTAAGAAACTAATCAAAAGATTTACCTTTATTGATTTTGTATGAGGATGAGGATAAAACTGATATTTAAATAAAATGTAAATTTGATTGTATGTCAATTACCTACCCATTTATGATTGGTGTTTAATTAGGCTCTACGCTGGAAATAGATGACTAATAGAATAAAGGTGCTCGATACTTAAAATTTAATATTGAAAGAATTTTTACAATCAATAGTAAAAAACAAAATTTGTCCAATAACAAAATTCTCTATTAATACAAATATAATATTTATATGGAATATAAATAATATATCGAACAAATGTTTTGAAACGTATTATGTGTTAGGTCTAGAGATGATTAACAAAAGAATTTATTTCTTTATTAGAATTCTGGTCAAGATTTCTGAAGTAACCTAACTAAATTTTGAAATATAATATGATGAATTCAATTTCTCCTAATAATATGAATAATCAAATAACTAAATAACCCTAATTAACGCATGCATTTTTTATTATACTTCGTCCCTTAAATTTGATGATTTTTTTACTCTATAATATTATTTTGTAATTATTGAGAAATTAATTGGATTTCTAATTATTTTACAATGTTTTAGACTACTTCTGCATTTTTATTTAGAATTAATTATACTCCTTCCTATTTTCTGTGTTAAACCAGTTTGTTTTAATTTTTTGCTTGAAAAATGATGATTGCACGCTGCTTGATATGATTTATTAATTGCAAAAAATCTAAATTTTCATTTAAAATAAAATTTAAAAAAGATGCAAATCACTCATGAATAATAAAGAGTAATTAACTCAGTGGATGCCCAGAAAAAAATTCGATAATATCTTATGCAAGAAATTACTACAGTTTTATTGGATATTAATAATCTTAAGAACAGTTGACTCTGATTTAACCCGAATATTACAATTAGAATGATTTGGCTAGGGTTGATCGCTATTAAATTTCAAGTCACTTCGAAAGGCAAATTGCCAGAAAATAAACCTTAGAATGAAAAAATAGGATAAGACTAGGTTAGAACCCCTAAATATATCATTATTTGTTTGTGAATAAAGCAAAAAGGAAAGAACTTCTTTTTTTGCAATTTAAAATTGATATGAATGAAAAAGAAAGTTTTATTAGCTTAGTGAACATGATAATCTGAAAATTTTTGCTCTGAGTGAAATTCCTAATTTTGGTTATCTTAATTAGTCATTCATAAGACTTTTCTCAATCTGTTAAATATTTATTATATCACCCCTATCTCTTCATGTCACCCAAACAATAGATTTTTTATGAGTTTCATCAGAGGAATATTTGTTAGAAAATTCAGACACTTCTTCTTTCTTACGCTTGCGTTTGCACTATAGTCTTATTCTAGTTTTTGGAATTCTCTGATCTTACTCTTGATTCGATAAATATAAAGAGAAAAAATAAGGATGAATGTATAATAATAATAGTTAGAACAGCAATTTTAAGTTATACTATCACATAAATCAAAAAAATCGTGTGATATCATTTGTATATTGGCTTCAGTTAATTTTGAATTTATTCATCACAAGAATAAAGCTTTCTACTATAATTATAATTTTAAGATCATTTTCAATTGTTGGCTAATTTCAGAAATTAAAGCAAATGTCAACAATATCAGCCTTAACTTTAGTATTTTCAGGCTTTTTATTTAATGTCTAGCGTAAAATTCAATATCTGCTATTTAGTTTCTGCCTCATTTCTGATATCATCTTTTTAGTTATATAAATAGAGAAACGAATCTCTATAGCCCTAGGAAACACATTTGAGGCCTATTTTGGTTTTAGCTAAATCAATTCTTCGATCGAATTCTTCAAACACACTGTTTAGCTAATTTGCTTAATAATTTTTATACATAGCCAAGTTCTAAAGAATCCTCTCTATGTATGTGCCAAGCCCAATTAAACCTTAGTTAGATTAAGAAATGAATATTTTTCATTGCTTAATATTTGATGTTAGTTTATTTATCTTCAAATTTGAACAGGTAAGATTTACGAATAATATGATTATAAATTTAATTGAAAAATAAAGCATAATTGCCTATATCAGGGTTTAAATTATTTTTCTAAACTTGCAAACCCAGCAACTTTTAATTTTACTATTAATCAAACCCTTATATTCCCTTTAAAAGTTTGTAACTATTAAAAATGGATCTGGCCAATGTTAACAAAATCAGAAAAACAATGTTACTAGTATTTAAATAATTAAACTCTTGTTAAAGGATTTATTTTAACTTTAAATAGAATTTATTTTATTCTCTTTTAGATAAAAGCTTTATAGTTGCTTTATTATTAATTAAATAGTTAGATTTATTGTCATTACTTATTAAATTTATAATCAAATAACTTTAAGAAGATAATCAATATCTATTCCTATAGTTTCTCTCCTATTAAGTTAAGTCTTTGTATTCCAAAATGATTAATATGACATTTATAGTATAAAAATGACATTCAAATTAAATTTATAAGAATGATTGGATTAAAAAACTTTGGGAACTTTAATTTATTTAAAATCTCTGACTTATTAATTAAAAAAGTAGACTTTAAATTTTATATTTTTTTAAGTAAATAAATGTATTTTTTCATTAAATATTACGACCAGAAGAAGGAGATATAGTCGGTAAACATGGAAGAATTGCTTTAAGGATTAAAATAGGCTAGTCATCTTCCCAAGAAGGCCATTTTAAAGAGTCCCATCTGGTTGTGGAATAATATATCAGGATAAGATTTTGAATAGGTAATTTATTGAATTTTATTAAGGAGAAGATGAGGATAGATATATAAAGGGAATGTTTAAATGTATGACGAATTGATGGGCTGAGGAGAAAACATATTAATTTTTAATTAATACCTGATGGATTAATTCAATTGAAGTGAGTAGATGATGGAATCAGGGCAATATATAAATTTTTTCGAACTTAAATAGTTATAATGTAAATAAGAAGAATAATTTCTTATAACTTATATTTTAATAACTACAATCACTATCACTTTATCTATTGTGATTGAATGGCTCTATTTCATTTATATCAAAAATTTCTTTGCTTTTACAATTTTATTGAAAATTGACTTGAATGAAAATTTTAAATCAATTTTTTTTTTGATTCAAAAATCTCTGCCTTTCTTTCATTATTTTTTTTTAATATTGAAAGTTTAGTTACTGAGTTATCCCATAGAAGTATAGCAAATCGATGAGATCAAGAATTATAAAAGTTGATAAATTAACAAGGCAAAGAGTAGAACATGTCGTGCTATTTTTCATTGATAATTATTTTAGTAATAAAACTAATTTGAAATAAACAGTTGCCTAAAATCTCATATCTTTCATCTATAAAATTCATTGAAAACCCTTAAACAAACTTTTAATATAAAAACAGAGCTTTTGATAAGCTAATAATATACTAATGAATTAAATTAAGTTTGAAATATTACTAATTGGCAGTAATTGAATGTATCCAATTATGTGTATTTAATATCCAAATTAATTAATAAACCAATTTTATTATGGCTATAAATGCTTAAAATAATTTAAAATTGTATTTCTATATAATAATATTTTGAATAAATTTGATGGCTGCTTAATTGATTTATGGCACAAAAAGTTTTGCTTATAGATTCAATTAACTGCTTTAATAATCTTTAAACTGCTTCTGTGTTAATCACAAAAGCTCTAATTATCGAAAAATATTAAAACTTTATTAGTTAAAATAATGCTGTAATTTCACAATTATTAATTATTCGCATCACATTATTTAATCAGCCTAAATAACATTGAAATAACTCTAATTTACCTATTTTTAATTTATATTTTATTATAACAATGATAAATTTGAATTCTGAGACACTAACATCTACATTAATATAATTCTTTGAATTTCAAGAGTATAGCCTAAGTGGGAATGTCTAATCAATCTTTCAAAGGTATTTCAGGGTTAATAAACTAATTAAGCAGATTTATTGGGACAATAATTTAAGAATATTATTACTCCTTTAGGTCATTAATAGTATCTTAAAATAATGAACTCTTCATCTACCAATTAGTAACCTGATTTAAGTACATTTAATTGACTCATTTAAAGCGTTTCCTTAACTTCTAAATTCCATATTTAACACTTAATTAAGTAGAAATCATGGACAAGTTTTAGAAGAGCATACGTCTGTAAGAAATTGACTGTTCCTTTTAATACTTTCTTTGATGAGATCCTTGATTCCATCATAACTCATCAATTTTAATATTCCCATATTTTCTTTTTCACCAAATACAATACTTAACAATTATCTAGGTATCATTGAACATAAGTACTCCTTAAGTCAATACAGAATTGATTACAATCATTTAATGCTATTATCGATAAGACTTGCCATCCCTTTAGATTTTAATCACATAATTGAATCTCCTAGATTGGAAAGGTAGAGATTAGTTAAGTTGTTCAAAATGGGATTATTGATTACACTTTTAAATTTGCTTCTGTATTACTTAAATACAATTAGTACTCGCCTTATCTCTATAGTATCAAGAATCATTTGATACTCTCAAGCTTTGACTCAAGATGCTTTATGCGAATCTGAATGCTTATGCTAATTCTTGCTTCCTATTTGGTCATTTTATTTCAAAAAATGGTAATTACATAATATAGTATTTTTGCTTAAAAATCATTTTCCTAATTTTCATTTATAACACTAGGATAAATTTATGGGATAATAATTTATGATTATTCATTTTAAAAATGAAGATAGCTTCATTTTGATTTATACACAATCCTTAAATTGTAATAGGCATTTTTTATAAGAAAAATTGAATATCGTCTTATTTACTTAACTGATATTTCTGATGATAGTTTAGTAAATTAGGATCACGACCAGATAATGGGTAAGTTTTAAATGATATTCTTGAAAATTTGGATGTAGAAAGTACAAAAAATCAAGTTGAATTACAATTCATATCCCTTGAATTCCGTAATCTCTCTACCCTATCAAACCTGTTGATGACTTTTTCTACCATTAAATAATTTTTTAATTTAGGAATTTAATAGGATTCTTGTGAATCAAATTGTCTTCACTATCTGTATGCTTACACGGAATCATTTTTATGTGATGGTAAATGCTGATCAAATCTTAAGCCGTTTTTCTCTTTACACAATTTATTCCAGGAACACTACAAAAATTTAACATTAATGTCCCTAAATGTATATTTGATTGCTTTACGTAACAAAGTAACCTTCTAAACCAATTTAAAAACCCTCTTTGTCAATCTATCTGGTGATATACAAGATGGATGGTTTTTTTGCAATCCAAATTATAGATACAATTTCTTGATTTTCTATGAAATTTGAAAAGTCTTGTTTCTCTGCTAGAGTTCTAGGAATACCAGGAGTGCTAGGAATAATCAATTTCCTAATAGTAAAATTACTTGTCAGTATGGCAACTACTACTTCCGACCATGTGCACCTACTTTAGGCAATGTATCTCACATAATAATTTAGATATATGCATGGTTAAGACTTTAAGTTGTTCAGGTTTAGTTTCTCAAAATTGTTAATAAGGTTCAAAAGCAAGTGGAGATTGTCATTGTTATGTTGATAGAATATGTACAAATTTCACCTTAACAACTTATGAAAATTATTATAGTAAATTTTTGAATTCATACACAAGAACAATCTTATTTCTAATAAATCTCGTTTCGTATTCGTCAGAAATTCATGTTAAATACTGATAATAATAGTTTTTAATTCAAATTTAAATTTTTTATTTAAATATTTGATATTATTAATTAAGATATATTACGAGAATTAAAGTTATAGAAGTTCTTTTAATATCTTTTATATAATAAAAGTTTTTCAGAATACTTATTCTATTAAGTTTTTTTTTGTTAATTGGATACTCTAGGGGATAATTTATATGAATGACATCGATATCCTAATTTCGTGTCTTATTGAAATCAATTAGTTCTATCTTTTGTAAGTTTTAACCTTAAAGTTCCCTCAAAAACTAACATTCATTAAGCTAATTAAAATGCAATAATTAATAACCAAATCATTATTTTTTCATTTTAACCAATCTTATCAGTAAATTTTATCAAAATTTCAAAGGATAGCTAAAGTAAATTATATTTATAGACCAATATATGATATTCTGTGCAGAATAATTCATTCTCATCAACACTATGATAAAGCATTATTACAACATAGAATGTCATTTTTTATTTAATTTTTCGTTATTTTCCAAAAGCCATATTATATTACATAATGAACAATGGAGTTACTCATCAATATAATGTTTATTAATAAATTTATCTTTTTAACTCAGATTAAGTTTCCTTTCTTTTCCCTTCTAAACTAAACATCCTTTTACTACTTCTGTATTCAACACAAGAGCAAAAATCATTTCAGTTTTAGTATTGAATTCATCATCTCAATATCCAATTATTGTCATTTTTTAAAGCTTAAGTTAATTTCTACATCTTAATCATTAACACTTATAATTGCATTTAATCGTTGTTAATAGTTTGATTGATTGTATTGTGTTAATCCTTGCCTTTAATAATTTATCACAACCATATATTTTCGGATGTTGTATTTTTAAGTGATCTAAATAAGAATTAAAATTCAGAATTACAAATTTACTGTAGATATGATTTCTAATGAATTCCAAAGAAGAAGTGTTTCAAGCGATTAGTATTTATTATTGAAAAAAAGAGAAAGCTACCTAATTAATTTCTCTATAATCAACAATACATATTATATTTCTAATTGTTATTCTGTAATGATTAATTTAGTCAATATCATTTTTAAATATTTTTCTTAACATATAAAGAATATGTAGCCTTTGTTCATAATTTTTGGAATCCATATTATTCTATTAAATTCAAAAGCTTTAACCTGCCAGGCATTGCAAATGTAACCAAAAATAACATGTAATATCAACCTGATAGATTGTTTTATATCGGGAGGGGATGAAGAAGATTACTACAAACTTGAACATGTTGATAAAGAAATTATATAAAAATCCTTTACTATCCCTTACAAAAATATGCCTATTTAGATTTCAATTTTCAATAGATTAGAATAAGATATGATCTAAATGAAACTCATTTGTTCATTGCTTCTGAATTATACATATTATAATAAAAAAAATAAAACAGATTATATGAGTTATGATACATTGAAGAATTATGAAAACATTCATCTTTTAGAGAGCATTAAAATAGAAACAAATATATTATCAGAGGAAAGTTGTGATGAAATTTATTAACTAGAAGATGGAAGAATAATTTTATTTTGCTTGAAATTATTTATTCTTAACAATATTCAGTAAGTGTAGAAGGAGATATTGTTCTTCTTCTAGAATAGGATGTTTCGGATTAAATTTAACATTATTGCAAGAAGAAACAGAATAAAATATAAGGCAAGAATTAATTTATAATATCATTTATTCAATGTTCACATTGGAAAATTTTTTAAATTAATAAACAAGAAATCTCAATTATTTTGGAATCCAAAATGAAAGATGACGAGTCGGTCATTAAATTATTTTCTAAAGTAAATGATGTATAATTATGTCCATTAATATAGAATATTCTACACATTTAAGAAGATAATCATTATATTCAAGTTTTTTATGGAAATAATTAAGTAGCAACTCTTTTATGCTTCAATAGTGAAAATTAATTTGAAGTATAATACCAGTAAAGCCAAATACAAATAGTCTGTTAATTACATATTCAAATATGACTAAGTATGAACCATTTAAGAAAATCGAAAATGAGATTGTCTAAATTATACTTTTGAAGTCGATAATATTCATTAACTTTCTAATTATCTCTTTCTTTAAAATTAAACATAATTAATAATTAGAATAGATCACCATTTAATTTAAAGATATGAAATTTTAAATACATAATTAAATTTCTTTGAATAAAGTAACCTATTTTATCAAATAGATCATAGTAAGAATTGATTTAATTCTATAAATATTTTCCAATGATTAGCTTTATTGAACCTAAATTAAAATTTGTTTAAGTCATTTAAAAATTGGATAACACCAACAATTAATTATTATATGAGTGTTTCAGAATGAAATATGAAAATAAATCGAATGAGAAAAGGGTGTAATTGGAAGAGATTTTTTTATTTAAAGATTGTGAACTTAAGCAGGAAACAACAGTAGTTATAGAAAGCTTTATGTAATTTTCGGATCATCAATTTATCATAGGCTGATCCGAACATTATTCAAATAAAGAAGCTCTAAAATAATTATTACAATTTTGGAATCTGTTAAATATATCCGAAGTTTATTAGTAAGATTTTGTGATATCGTACTACTTATTTGATATTTACACATTGTTATATTGAAGATAAAATTGCCTTGAAAAAAATTTAATCTTAAATGAGAAACCCTGAGAATTGAAACTTGATGTATTGATTTATTTTTCAACTTACCTTCCTTATTTTAAAGAACTTAAACATTCAAATTTTAACTAGTTGTTAATCAAATTAATGAGAAAAAATATAATATAACTATATGTAATATTAATTTTGATTATATAAATAATATTAATTTTTAAATAGAGAATGGAGGAGAGTGATATGAGAATATGTTAAAAACATAAAATGGAGATAATTATAGTGGATCTTGAAAGTAGGATTGCTTAGGAAGATAGATGTTTATGTGTAAGATGTATAATTGAAAGAATGGATAAGAAGAGAATGAGTTTGATTGATGAAACAACGGATATGATTAAAGAAATGAAAATGAATGAATAAAATTAAAAGATTAAGGATAATAAGAAGAGATTAGATAATTTGAATGGAATTGAATAATTATTAAGAGAACTTAAATAAAATATGGATTCTCTATTTGATAAGATATTTATTAATATTCAATTGAAATTGAGTTAGATATCAAAAGATATAAGTAATGTTGAATCATAATCTATTATATTTAATTTTTAGGATGATATTGAAAGATTATCTTAATATTAAGAATATTAAATTAATGAATAATCAATTAAATTAATTGAAGATGATCATAAATTTATAGAGCAAATACAAAAATAATTAGAATCTTTTATAAATTCTGAATAATATAATAAATTAATGAATAATTCAAATATTGTTAAGAAATCTGAATTAGAATAGGATTTAATAAATAATGAATAGAAATATGAAATCATAAAAGTATAAGATTATGTATATTATTATGTATTTATAATAAATTAGAAAACACCTGCATTGAAAATGATTTGCTAAGAACATACTAAAGAAATTATAATGTTTAATTTGAATGCAAATTGTAATTCATAACCAAGAATGGCTTGTGTTAAATGTGTTTAATAATATCCTGCATAATATACTCCTTTAGAAGATGTCAATATTTAATGGGAATCATATTAAAAGAGAAATTAAACTAATTTGAATGAATTATAAAATACAAGGAATTCTATTTAATAGAAAATACTTAAAATGATTTAAGAGATTAAATTATAAAATGATCAAATATTTGATGAATTAATATAATCTTTAATTAATTAAGAATAATCAATAGAATAGATGAATTAGAATGAAATTAATAATAAATCAATTAATTAATTAACATCTAATTAAATAAATGAAATAATAAATTAATTAAGTTAAATTGATAAATTCAAAACATAAAAAGATCATAAAATGAATATTGAAAAGATTGATTAAATATTCTATTCAGATTTAAAATCTAGATTTGAACATTTAATTTAATATTAATAAATAAATGTTTAAAGATTCAATTAAATTCTTATTAATGATAATAAAGTAATTAATGAAATTGATAATTTAATATAATCAACATAAGATGATTCATAAGAATCTATCGAAATAAATTAAATACTAGAATAAATTAGATAATTTATGTATAAATCTGTTAATTTTGAATTTTCATAAACACTATTTATTCAAACTATTAATTAATATATAAAGATTAAGGAAAATATCTAGAATTTATAATAGATTTTAAGTAATAAAATAGAAAAGTCTTAAGAATTACAATGCATATTCAATGAATTCAATAATTATTCAGATAAATTCAATGAAGATTACATTTAATTTTAATAATATATAGAAATCAATTAAAAAGTGAATGAAATTACATAATTAAAAGAATAAATTGATTCTATTCTAAAAGAAAAATCATAATAAACAACTTAATTTGAAAATGATTTGATAAAAATGAAATAATAAATAGAATCTATTAATAAACAAAATTTAGAATCAAAGAATTCCTTTGAGAAATAAATTAAAACAAAAGAAGAAGATAACAAATAATTAAAAGAATTAATAGAATAAATTAAAAAATAAAATCTAAATTTAGAATAGAATTTAAATAACTTTGCTGTAATATTTCATTAATATTATTAATATAGCCATCATAATATCAGAAGTAATTAAATTTTTCCTAAACACATAAACATCCAAGTTGTGAAGTAACATAAAATGGAAAGATGGTTTAAAATGGTGCTTATTGTCTATGTGATTAAGTCATTCCTAAAAATGGAGTCACATCATTTGCATTTAAAATCATTTAATTAAATTAATCTTGTTTCATTGGTATTGGAATGAGAGAAATCATATAAAAAAATAATTATGAGGGAAATGTTGTTTTTGGGTGTGGGTATTTATTTATTTTATTCTATTTGATCATATACAATAGCATCAGATAAACGTTGTTTTTCACACCATGAATAGGATAAAAATAATTAACGCTTATCATTTAATTTCACAATTAATGATATCATAATAGTAGAAGTTAACATTTAAAATAGAAACATCAAATGGATCAAAGCAAATACAAATCAATCATTTGTAATTATTCTAACACTATTATATAATAGAATCTTTCAATAGAAACAACTTATGATTTATATCCATGCTTATGGGTGTGTATGAACGGAGAGAATGGTAATAAAATTTAAATATTAGAATAATTATTATGATATTATTAATTTCTTAAATATTATTCTAAAGATTATCAAATCTCTAAAATTATAAATAAAAATATTCCTAAAATACTAATTTACTATTAAATCAATATCACCGTTATTGTATATTTAACAAAGCACAACAAATTGTAAACTTCATTCCTTTTCTTATATTGTTAAAATTCTCACCCCTTCTGAAAATCTTTAGGAAAACCTAAATATCAATGATTAGAACTAAATAATATTTATATCCATTGAATTTTCTATTACTTAATTAAACAACCTTTATGTGTACACTTCGGATAATCTGCTGATTTTCAAAAAAGTCAGAATAAAGTAGTAATTTTAACCTTTCTCGTCAATCTCTAAATTGTAATCAAAATTTTAAGAAATTGTTTAATTCGTAATCCACTACGTAATTTTTTGGTACTCATTTAATTAATACTGTTACGATTTATTTTATATAAAGAAAGATGATAAAGTTTACAAATATTTCATTTTGGATCTAATTGCAAAAATTTGAGGAAGAATCTAGGATTAAATTATTTTATTTAATATTAATTACAATTGTCATTTCCATAATGTTAATGAACACTTCTAAGCATATAATCCAGTCTATTAAAAATAGGAATTGGCTTTCCTTCTCTTTAGAAAGGGTTTATCGATAAAATTAGAATGAAGTTTTATCTTTTAATAGTTTTATCAAATTTGAGGATAAATGATTTCACTATTTGATAATTCGTTTAAATCTTAAGCACTTTAATTTTTCTTTATTATGCTGATTAATCATTCAACAGGATTCAGTAGGTCGAATCCGGAAAGGGAATTTTGAAATAGTGATAAATGATCCTAAATCATATCTGGCTAAGTATTATAAAATGACTAATTTACTCCTTCATCATTTAACAACCTATCTCATCAAGAGAGATTCAAATAGATAATAATTGAGTGTGTTAGGCAGTTTAACTTTTAGCTGTGCCGAAGAGTTGCTGTCTCAATTCTGTTTTGTTGTTCGCTAGCCAATATTAAACAAGGGATCTGGGATGCTTAATGCAAGTAGGAGGGAAGATTTTAGCGAAGTGTCCTCAGGTATGATTAGATTACATTCCAAAGAGTATCTCTTTAAGACCAATATGATGTCTTTTACACAAGATTTAAATTATGACTATTCTAAGAAAAAGCTAAAAAGTCACTTAAATCGTCAAGAGCAATGTCAAATGTCAAGAAGAGAGACAAGTAAAATGGCCATGTGTTATAAAGATGTTAAGGAAGAAAAGAGTTATTGTATTGGCTACCATTTTTTCACTTATCAGCTGAATTAAAGATAGCAAATAATTATTTGTCTTTTATTAATTTTTTCTACGATTAAGATAATTTATTTAATGAGTGAAAAAGATCATAAAAAGATTTTGAATTGCAAAAAAATTATTAAAATAGACGTGATAAATTGCTCCTAGTAAATTGTATCTTTTTGTATGCTTTTCTATTTTCTTTCGACGATTATGAACAGAATTTACATAACAATATTCACAAGCATCACTTATGAAGCAACAAAATACTCATAATCTAAGCATAGATTTATGCATTTAACAAATGGCAAAGCATTTTGAGTTGAATATCACAAAGCATGGGAACAACCACAAATTATATCAGTGCAAGATTGGCCAAAGACGCCTACATTAATCATAAGAGTTAAAAGATGTATTAAAAAGCATATCATCCAGTAAATTAAACATTTAATAAATAAGTAATAGTATCTAAGCTGCAGTTAGTAAAAGGAAATCTTGAGCGTTCATACTACTTCTTTCAAGAAGGATTCATCTATTACAAGATAGAATGGAATGCATGATCCAGCTAATCCTGAATCTAAGAATTTATTTGGTGTAGAGCAATATTGCCAGATTTAAGTTAAATATCAGGTAATGGATGATCAAGTAAATATCTACTTTCGCAGCTTAAGACATAAACTGTTATCATTGGCAAACCTTACACCATTTTTAATAAATTCACTTAATTTGAATTCATTTTTTATAGGAAATAATTAAGTAGAACAAATTTAGGACATCTATTACAATCATGACTATGACTGGTAGAAGCAAGAGCAGAATTTAAAAATGATTACCTGAAAGAATCAAAAAGAGCTTTAAAAATACATACTAATAAATGAAGGAGCTTCAAATGTAACACTATGTAATATAGCTACCACAAGAATAAACAATGTACCCACAAAATCTCATGAAACATGCCTCTCGTTAGCCATGATGCAAAGGATAACGTATTTTCAAAGATGTAAAAATTAACCAAGACGATGAGCATTAACATGATGTAGTTGATAGATAGGAGCTATAATGTAGATTTTCAGAACATGCTGAGCAATATTTTGAACATATGCTCAAAGAGGATGGTGATACTCAAAGTAATTTAAACAATAAGAAGAACATCATAGAATCCGGTTCCAGTTAATGAATGAAATGTCCTTGATATCTTAATACACTTGGCACTGGCAATTGTGATGTGCTCAAATCATGAGTTTATAAACAGATTTATCACAAAAAGGAGAAAATAAAAACTAGCCAGAAGCGAAACATTATTATAGAGAGCTTTCAAAATTTGTTGACGTATTATTTTAGCATGCCCTCCAATATACACTATGTAAATAATCAATAAAAATTATCCCATCCAGTATTAGTACATCACTTACAGGAAGAATCTCAAGCTGATGGTAGCATTTTCTACTTTTAGGACGAGGTTTAAAAATACAGGTGATAGGAGAGAGCCATCATTATATCCTCCATTATTTATATTAGAATTGAGAAACTATTTTAACCACTTCCTAGTGCAAATAATGGGTATGATCCAGTGATTCCTGGATCTAATGATTGATTTTGGCTGGTTTAATATGACCATAACCACTATAAGCACTTTTAGTTGTTAACTATATATTATTGGAAAGTTTTGCAAATTATAAATTGGTAGTTAAGGTTTAAGAGTAATATATAGGGGCATGATGCAGATGAATCCTTGGGCAAAAAAGACCGTGGCTATTGTAATAGTGTAATGACCAAAACAGACTAGACATTGGTATGGATTGTAAGAAGATGTACCAAACTCTAAACTGAGCAAATAATGCAAGATATACAATAGTAATTCGCTTGCTGTTATGCAGAAAAGTACCAGCTCCAGAATTTTTGAGGGATATATCCATATGCCTAAAGTGCCATGACATTAAAGATGATTTTACTTGTAAATTATCACAAGTAGGAAGGATTTTTAATTTGGATTTGACAGAAATACAAATACGTGAAATAAGTAATTGATGCCCTTTAAAAATAAATAAATGATGAAATCAATAATGTTGTCAACTCATTAATTCCTCAACATACAAATTGTTTCATAAAAGAGCAAGGTCAATATAATGATTTTGAAAGTGTGGATATGCTTGATACTTCTTATTTTCAAATTCCCCTTTATTGTATCAGGGCATCGTTTAGTTTTTCTTATATTTATAATTTAAAAATTATGAAATGAAAGCAATCTATTACATCAAGAAAGTATAAATACTTTCTAAATGAATATATAAGTTTTAATTAAATGTCTAAAAATCATTTTATCTAAAAAATTAAACAATCTAGTTTAAGAAAACGGTTTTATAAAGAATTGTGATATGATATGATTGGAATAAACTGAAATAGAGCAAGTTGTTTCTTTAAAATCTCATATTTTAGAAAAAGGAGAAAGTTTAGGACTATAAATTTGTTCTATTTAATTTTAATCATTCTAAATTTTTGAAAATAAATAAATCTAATACTCCTGGTTACTAAATTTTCTTAAAATTAATCATTATCTAAAACAAAATACAGAATTTAAGAGTAAGCTAAATATAATAATATTTTTATAATATTTTATCTAAAATTTTCATATCATACTTTATTAGCTCAAGCAAGTAATAATATTATAAAGTTATGGGACCTAAATGCCTTAAAACAATAATTATTAGAAATGGATGGACATTCTTCTTCAGTTCAAGAGCTCTGTATTTCTTCTGATGGTCTCCAATTGGTCACAGGATCTAAAGAAGAAATAATTAGATGGGACTTGATATATTAATAAAGGGTAAAAGACATCCATCCACGTTTGCTTCTCCCCCAATAGCCACAATTTTATTGCTCTAACTAAATAATTAATTCATATTTGGAAATTCAATACAAAATATATTATAGAATTTCACAAAATATATTGGTGTGAGTATGGATGGGAACACAGTTTGAGTGTAAATTAGAACCTAGTTATCTTCAGTAAATTTAAATCAGTATTATTAGTAATTCTGGATGATAACATTAAGAAAAAGTGATTTAATGAAAGTCACAAAAGGTTTTTCAAATCCATCTTACTCAGTAGACGAGAGTACCTTCTAATATTATGATAATATATTCTTACTATGAAGATATATATCTATTGTAATTGCCTTATGATAATAAATACAATACTTATTCCTTTACTTTTATGGTCAATAATGAAATTGCCAAATGGGTTCAATAGTCCTTAGCTACACCTGCCCATGTATTCTATAATAAGGGTATTCGAAATATATGACTAACCCTCCAAAGTATCTTGAGGATCATAAATCTACTTTCTATAAAATCAAGACTTTTTAGACATTACTATAGCCTATGGGTTTGTGTTTCCTTATATTAATTTGAATAGAAATAACCTTTTTATAAACTAGTATATTTTAAATGAGAATTCTTAGGTTTCGACCATTTAGATCATCATCAACAAACCCAATACTTAATTGAGACACATATACTCCATTACCTTCAATTTATTAAATAAAACTAAATCATTTCCTACCTGAATCAGAAACAATTGGCTACTGAAGCCTCAAAGCTCATATATCAAGATTTTGAGCCTTGAAACTGAAATTTCAAATAATCCAGAACTCTATCACAACTATCCTCAGTAAAAGAAAGAATTTATAGAATAGATATTCTCACATAGATGTCTAATTTAAAATATAATTTACTAATTGATTCGAATGTCTAATAAAGATGTCATTTTTAGTTGATCAGTATACTTTAGTTTTATAATATAAGCTACTTAGATAAGTAACTTGTGTTAAAGCTATTAGATCAAATATTGGCATAAGTTCAAATTTCTAGAGTTGATTTCATTGATTATGAGATCGCCCTTTAAGATTAAAACATATTCTTATTTTTTGAGAATTCATTAATATATATGCAATCAAATGAAGTTAAGGATGATAGATTTTCCAAAATGCAATTGAGGGAGTTTATTAAAATAGAAAGTAATATCTTGTGAATCCTTTATCATAAAATTATGCCTTAATAATATATCCGGAATATTACATAAATGTTGTTTATAATTGAATAATATTTTAACAACAAAAATGTACTCGTAATGTTTGTTAACTTTGGTTCTTATTCGAATAACTCAGCTTATAATTTATCGATTACTTATTTACTTCTAGGTATGATCCATTTAACCACAATTTGCCAATGTACGTTGAATTCAAATTTATTTAGTTTATTAACTTTTCAAAGGTTTATTTATCATACACTTTTTGTTTTGTAGCACTTTCTATATAGCAACTAAGAGCTTGCATAAAAAAGTTAAACTCAGTTGGGTCTAATTCTTTAAAATCTCTTCTGATTAAATTGATAAATTAAGGGAAGAATCCTAAATTAAGCTCCTTAGAATTGAATTATGCTGTCATGATTTGGTGATACCCAATATTTTTGAATTCCTTATAGGTATAAGGTGTCTTTAGAGAAAGATCGATGTATATTGACAACTTTTATGTACCCTTCTTAAGAATGGATTTCCCTTGACAAAAAGCCATAAATAATTTCATTAAAATATATTCAATTTAAAAGTAATGATCAAATAAACCAAGTTTCTTTGGGTATACTTATCATTGTCGAATAACAATAAAATTTAACGAAAAATCAAATTTCCACACACAGGCAATTCTTAAATAAAAATATCATTAAGTTTTGATTGATATTTCTTTCTTTGCTCATTTCGAGCATTTCCTTAATTGTTTAAAGTAATTTTATTTGAACAGTAAATAATCCAAATATTGATTCATCATGTTTACTTTAGTTTGTATGTATTTACAGTTTTTCAATATCATTTCATTGTTTTTCTAAGCAAAGAGCATACTTTGATAAGCCTTTTAATCCAATACAGTTGGATTACTTTAACATTTTGAAGAATGCATTCCCTATGAAAACCATGTGAGCATTCAAAAACGATGTAATCCTCTTGGAACAGTTTTCTAAAGCAATTTTCACTTTAGTTTTCTAGGTACATAATGTATCTATTACTGGGTTACAGCAACCATTTTTTTTCAATTTTTATTTGAATTGATTTAAACCTTCAAGTTTTGTTTCCTGTTTTTCAATTTAATCATGATATTTGAATTGTCTAATTTAATATTCTANCTTTAGTTTTATAATATAAGCTACTTAGATAAGTAACTTGTGTTAAAGCTATTAGATCAAATATTGGCATAAGTTCAAATTTCTAGAGTTGATTTCATTGATTATGAGATCGCCCTTTAAGATTAAAACATATTCTTATTTTTTGAGAATTCATTAATATATATGCAATCAAATGAAGTTAAGGATGATAGATTTTCCAAAATGCAATTGAGGGAGTTTATTAAAATAGAAAGTAATATCTTGTGAATCCTTTATCATAAAATTATGCCTTAATAATATATCCGGAATATTACATAAATGTTGTTTATAATTGAATAATATTTTAACAACAAAAATGTACTCGTAATGTTTGTTAACTTTGGTTCTTATTCGAATAACTCAGCTTATAATTTATCGATTACTTATTTACTTCTAGGTATGATCCATTTAACCACAATTTGCCAATGTACGTTGAATTCAAATTTATTTAGTTTATTAACTTTTCAAAGGTTTATTTATCATACACTTTTTGTTTTGTAGCACTTTCTATATAGCAACTAAGAGCTTGCATAAAAAAGTTAAACTCAGTTGGGTCTAATTCTTTAAAATCTCTTCTGATTAAATTGATAAATTAAGGGAAGAATCCTAAATTAAGCTCCTTAGAATTGAATTATGCTGTCATGATTTGGTGATACCCAATATTTTTGAATTCCTTATAGGTATAAGGTGTCTTTAGAGAAAGATCGATGTATATTGACAACTTTTATGTACCCTTCTTAAGAATGGATTTCCCTTGACAAAAAGCCATAAATAATTTCATTAAAATATATTCAATTTAAAAGTAATGATCAAATAAACCAAGTTTCTTTGGGTATACTTATCATTGTCGAATAACAATAAAATTTAACGAAAAATCAAATTTCCACACACAGGCAATTCTTAAATAAAAATATCATTAAGTTTTGATTGATATTTCTTTCTTTGCTCATTTCGAGCATTTCCTTAATTGTTTAAAGTAATTTTATTTGAACAGTAAATAATCCAAATATTGATTCATCATGTTTACTTTAGTTTGTATGTATTTACAGTTTTTCAATATCATTTCATTGTTTTTCTAAGCAAAGAGCATACTTTGATAAGCCTTTTAATCCAATACAGTTGGATTACTTTAACATTTTGAAGAATGCATTCCCTATGAAAACCATGTGAGCATTCAAAAACGATGTAATCCTCTTGGAACAGTTTTCTAAAGCAATTTTCACTTTAGTTTTCTAGGTACATAATGTATCTATTACTGGGTTACAGCAACCATTTTTTTTCAATTTTTATTTGAATTGATTTAAACCTTCAAGTTTTGTTTCCTGTTTTTCAATTTAATCATGATATTTGAATTGTCTAATTTAATATTCTAAGTCAAATAGGTTTTATATCTTCTACATTAATTAAGGGAATTTCTCTAGTTAATTGAACGATCTATCTCACTTATTTGCCACTCTCTCCAACATCAATCTAATCCAAAATTATTGTTTATTTGTTAATTTCTTCGCATTCTAATGCAATATACTTATCATCCTCAATAAGATCTATTCAATGGCTTTTTATATGCCATTTTCATAATCGCCTAGAATTTATATATAAACTATGACGCATAGTTCATGTAAGTACAGTTACTAAAAACTATGTGGAATTAAAAGGTATATCAACAGACCAACAACTTAATATAGCAAGGCTTCTTCATAGATTTTTTGGGTTAGCAATTGTGCCCATGAATCATTTCCTTCGAATTCAACACTAATTCTAAAGATCCCATTCGTGCATCATAACCAAAAACATTTAGTTCGCTGACCATATAGCTTTCCTAGAGCCTTGCCTGAGGTATGACCATAGTCATGCTTTTGGACTTGACATAACGATTCTATTTAATTTAGATCTTTGAAGATTTGAAAGAGGAGATTTTGTATCACTAAAACTAAATTGCTTCTAATTACTTATTGAAAGATGATATAGATGAAGCACTTGCAGTGTCTGAAGAAGAGATTTGAAGTTGAAAATAGATAGTAATAATTTAGTGTAAATCGAAACTTTTGCGGCAAAAGTTGCTTTTATTGATGATGTGATTGATGCTGTTGATGATGCAGCCAAATTAATCAATAATTTGCATTTGCGCCTCATTTGCTTAATTGAAGAGCAAACACTAAACTCCACAAAAAACTATCAGGTAACATACCCCAATGCATTGTTGCAAATATGATTGACCAACCTACTTTAAATGGCCAATCATCACGGCTTTTACTCAATTGGAAACCCGTGGATTTAATTAAAAGCATTGACAAAGATTGCTTAACTCTTAAGCGAAATCAGATAATAATTAGTCAATAATTTATCAGCAGAAATTGATTTGATTATCAAATACATCAATAGATAATTGGATAACATATCACATATTAACTATCCTCTATTAGAGGAAAATGAACAAAATAATTCTAATTTCAAAAAAATAGCATTGCTTTTTTTTGCTTGCGTTTATTTTAATTTAGACCATTATAAGAAAACAGTGGATACAATAATATTCAATTCTATGCAATAAAATGAAATCCAAAATTTTAAATGAAGAGAATCAAAACTAGAATCTTCGAATTAACATTTTGAAACTTAGGTATGATTATTTAATTATGCATATGAATCCCTTGGGAGATGTTTTTCCATTTATAATTGCACATTTATTTTTTTTTTTATTACAATAATGAATTCTTAAATTAATGCATACTACATAGTGTAAAAAAAACGAAACTACCTTTATAATATATTTTTGAATACAAAACTTCATTATGGATAGGAATAGATGAAGTTGAATTTAAAAATTCTCATATTTGCGTTAGGAACAGTATTTTTTGTTGTGTAGAGCTTCTTACTCAATTTATAAGAATTTATATAAGTATTATTTTAGTTTCTCGATTACATGCAATATTTTGAACAATGATAAATTCTAAGTTTATTGCTAAATGATTTCTAATTGCAATTAAAAACAATACAATATATCTTTTATTGGGTTGGCTATTAGAGTTTAATATTTTTATTATTTGATCTTCAAAATTTTGAAAATGAATTATCATTTTAGATTTGAACTATACCAAATAGAGATTTTAAATTAATATATAATTATGAACTTTGCCTTTATGTTTATATCTTAATTATTTTTTAAATAAAAACTTAAATTTTCTTTTCATTTTAATAGATATGGGTATTATTTTATCTAGCCAGTCGAAAGAGGAAAAGAAAATCAATAAAATAATTGTGTAAACCCCCATTTTTATTATATTACTAGAAATCAAAACCTAGACCCTCAAGCTGGAAACTATTTCCAATAAAGTAAAACATCAGAATATGAATGTTATATTTGGGATTCGAATTAAAAGAGGTTATTGAAGATTAAATTTCGAATATCAACTACAAATGAACTCTAAAGGTACACTTTAGACGGAGAAATTCTTAAAATGTAAAGATATAACAAAATATTAGAGTTTAAAATAAAAATTCTTCATTAAAATTGGATTTGTTGACTAATTTAGAGTAGATCAAATATCTTGAATGTTCTGAGAATTAATAAGGAAATTATATGGAAGTTAGGAAATTAACTATGTATTGGGGAGGAGAACAATTATAATAATCTGGGGGGTTTTACTCAAAGGATGGGTTGAAGTAGGGTTTATGGAATTAATTAATTAAAAAATATTCAAGGTAATATCCACTGACTTCTAACTAGTCAAGCCCAAGTATGCGAAAAAGGAGAATATTTTAATGATCAAAAATTTGGTTTATGGACATACATAGATTAAAATTAAATGATGTATATTATCCAATAATTATTTTGTGGTGGTGGATTGTACAGTTCAGATTTTTAGAAAAATGGTAAATGGGTTGAGCTGAGCGAGACTTTTTGGAATTAATCCTAAGTTACTTATAATGGTGAGTATAAGAGTGGAAAAAAAGTTAATAAATGGGATACAATGATTAATGGAAAATAGATGTAAGTAAATCAGAATGAATTAATAATAAATAGTATTGGTGGAGGGTTTTACAGTATTTCAGGTTCGATTAAAATTGGAAAATGGATTGAGGTGAGTGAGGGATTTTGGGAGAAATCTTAAATCACATATGTTGGTGAATATTAAAATGGAAAAAAAGTTGGTAGATGGGATATTTTTTATAAATAGAACTATGGAAATTATACAAATGAATTAGTGTATCAAATTTAGAAAGTACAATTTTAGTGGTGGTGGCTCTTACTATGATGATGACAATCAGGAAGGTGTTAGTATTAAGATTGGAAAATGGATTGAATTGAGTGATGGGTTTTAAGAAAAGTCTTATGTTTTTCTTGTTGGTTAATATAAACAGGGAGAAAAAGTTGGTATATGGGACATTTTTCATTAGTAGAATAATAAGAACGAATTAATGTAATTTTTAATTATGAATTAAAAAAATTTTAGCGGTGGCGGCTTGTATGGAGATATTGAAAATTAAGAAGGTATTGGTATTAAAATTGGAAAATGGGTTGAATTGAGTGATGGATTTTGGGAAAAGTAGTAAATAATTTATGAGGGTTAATACAAAAATGGAAATAAAATTGGTAGATGGAATATTTTGGATTCTAGAAGATAAATGTAAAACGATAATACAATTTTGCGTTATTTATAGCATAGGTGGAGGGCAATATGATGATACATTTTCATTTAAGTGTGGGAAATGGATTGAATTAAATGAGAGATTTTCTTGGGCTTCATAAGTCACTAGTTATGGAGAATATAAAAATAATAATAAAGTTGGCAGATGGGATATAGTGGCTTGGGGTAAATAGATGTAATGTTAATAAATTATTAAGTTATCAATAGTGGCGGTGGATCGTATTAGTATGATGAAAACTTAGAATGTGAGACTCTTAAAATTGGAAGGTGGAATGAATTGAGCGAAGTGTATGGGTTATATTCATACGTCACTAACAATGGCGAATATAAAGATGGTAAAAAAATTGGTAGATGGGACATTTTGTGGAGAGAGGACGAGAAAAAACCATTTCAATAAATGTAAAAATTTCTTATCATGTAATTTAGAGGAGGTGGAACTTATGATTAAGTAACCAAGTTAGGAAGTTCTGTAAAGAATGGTAAGTGGATTGAGTTAAGAGATGGATTTCGAAAGTATTCCTAAGTCACTTTCATTGGTGAATATAGATATGGAAAAAAAGTTGGAATATGGGAAGAGATAGAATTAAGGTGTAACAAAAATATTAAATCGATAAATTATAATAATTGATAAAACAATCTTTATTAATAGTATGTAAATCAATTTGGTATGAAGAATATAATTAAACTGATCAATATCTTTATAAGGTAAACTCTTTCTTTATTTTAATTAAATTTAATAAAGTTGATAATTAATTTGAAATTTATCCTTAAAATAATCGTCTTGTTTATTCCCTAGTGAGTTATATTTAATCAAATGCATTAAATATTACTTTTTAGATTTCCAAATTCAAATTGCAGTTATTTTCAGTGAATTTTCGTTATTATATCAACTTTAAAGGAAATAGTAGGTGCTATATTTTATTCTACAAACATTTTATAATTTTTAATGAAATTTTAATTAGAATATAATACGATTAAGATTGATTTACTCTCATGCAGCTCTAATAATCGTGATATTTTTTCTTATTTGAGCTTTGAATTATTCTTAATTGAATGCTTATTATAATTACTTGATTGTTTCAAAAAACAACTTTCATAAGATTGTTGTAATTCTTTAATTGTATAGAAAGGGGTATGCATACGATATTAAAATATGTTTAAACGATTCAAATCGATTTCAAGCACAAAATATATTTTAAGTAAAAATTTACTCTTAATAACATTATTTCAATATCCCCATTTCCTAAAGCAAATTTAGATAGGATTTGATATATTCATTACAATTAAATTATAAACCTTGTGTATTTTTTTTACACACCTATTTGACACTGTAACAGTATTATATGATTAAATCTATTTTTAAGTCATTTACAAACTTTTTTATGATTTGAAGTTAATGGTAGACAAGATCAATGGATAGCATAAATAAAATTAAAATTAAATTATTGATTTTCTAAGTTCAATAATAATACAAATTTAAAAAATGGAATTTAAATAAAAACCTCAAGAACAAAAAACATCATCACATTCCAACCCTTTGACTTATGAATTACTTCCCAATATTTAATACTATTAACGTTAATATTGCTATGCTTAAGCAATGAAACAGTCTACTTTATTGGCTGGGTAAGATAATAAAATAAAAGTATTACAATTCAAAAAGGGATTGAAATTGATAAGTTGTATTTAGAAACATCAAAACAAAGTAGTTACACTAAATATTTTTCAAAAAAGAGATCAATTTATTTCTGGTTCTAATGATTCCTCGATCATAATTTGGTCCTTTAATCAGATGTCATCCCCAAAATACTTAACAAAATTAAAAGGTCATCTAGATTGGATCAAATGTTTGGTAATTCGTCCAAAAAGGGAAGACTTAATAATTAGTGGATCCTATGATAAGACAATAAAAATTTGGAAGCAACCATTTTATTTCTTGACTTAATCTTAAAACTCCTCCTTTAAATAATAATCTTGGATCTGCTCGTAAACAATTGCCGAACATAAAAAATAGATAGAAGGTTTATCAATAAATTAAGAAGGTAATAAATTCATAACATGTGGAGCAGACCATTTAATATTAATCATAGAGGAGCTTGAAACTTAATGGTAAATTAAGTAAAGAATAGAAGTTAAAGAATTTGGGTATCGAATTTCTTTCATAAATAATGATTTATTTGCTTTTTAACCAAGAAATAACTACCTTTGTTTGTTTTATTTTAATCCAGATACAGGATTATATTAGTAAAATTAAGATATCTAAATTCAAGGAGGGCAGAAAAATTGTGATGGATTATTTCCATTACTCTATCTAGAAAAATACTAAATTTTGATTTCTAAAAATGGATTAAATGTGAATATACTTAAATTTAGTTTTACTAAGTCAAATGATTATAATTGCAAATTAGAATAAGTCATTGGTTTTAGATTTTTAAGTTCTTGGGATGGACTAATTTATGGAACTGCAAGTCATGATGGTGAATATTTGATAACATGGGATCAAATGTCAAAAGAAATCCAGATTAGATAATTGAGATTAGAAATGTGAAAGACCTTTTTTAATTATCTTATTATGTTTAAACTTCTTAACTTTTTAGTATTATTTAGAGTAGTTAAGCTAAACAATTCGATAATCAATATTTTTAGTTTAATTGTATATTAATAAATTACATTTCTAAAATCTGAACATTATATTAATCTTTTTCGATAAGACTTTTTAATTATCATCAAACATGATAATTTCTCATTTATTTAAATTAATATGAGATTATGCTCAACATAAAAGGCTTAATAATTATAGACATAAGTTTCAATTAGAATTTCAAGTAATAATCTTATCAGCTCACTTTGTGTTCCTTTCTTACATATAATATTTTTAAACAAGTATAATTCACTTATTTTTGCAACTCTTCAAAATTTAATATTATTAAAAAATTAGAGTAACAATTGATGAAAAATTTATTGAATGGGATACATATTTAAGAATTAAAGGATAAGATTAACTATTTGAACATCTGTATTTTTCGTTATTATGCTGTTAAGTGGTGGTGGAAGCTATGATGAAAATGGAGATGGTCAAAAAATCGGAATATGGTTTGAGCTTAATAATGAGTTTAATGAATAGAAAAATATAATGATTACGTATTGAAGTTTGGTGGAAATAATCAAGTGATGTAATTGAGAATATAATTATTTATTTAGAGGAGGAAGGGTATATGATTAGCAAGAAGATTTACAAAAAAATTGGAAAATGGATTGAGTTATGTGAAGGATTTAGCGGGTAGAAAATATTATTATTAAATATTTCTTTAGAAAGAGTTAATTTATTTTAGAAAGAAATATATAGAAAAGGAATTAAAATTGGTAGATGGAATACTTACTTTAAGTTTAATGAAAAAAGGATGAGCAGATATAAAATATCAAATATAGTTATTATTTTAGTAGCGAAGGTAGTTATGATTGGCGATAAAACGGTTAAAAAAAATTGGAAAATGGATAAAATTGAGCTATGTATCTTGTAGGAGTAGGTATTTGATTTATTATTTATTTTCTATGCTAGATATTTAAGTCATCTATTCTGGTGAATATATAAATGGTTTAAAAGTTGTTTAATGGAATTCCCATTGTTAGGGATAAAAGATTAAATAAAGAATTCAAGTTCAGGTAAGAGGATGATATACATTAATCTAATTTAGAGGTGGCTAATATTATGACGAAAAATCACCGGATGTAAAAATTGGTAAAATGGATCGAGTTGATTAAGAATTTTTGAGACGGATCAGGATAGTCATAAATTATTTATATTGGTGAGTATAAAGTGGTTAAAAGTTTGGCCTATGGAATACATTTTTTGGGAAGTTGATTAAAAAAGTAAAAAAGAGAATGGCTGTATTAATATTTTTGAGTTTATTTAGACATGGTAGATTATATGATGGATTTGGTAGAAAATGGGGAGTTGGGTTAAAGTATGTGATTGGTTTTATTCGTATCAATAATTTTAATTATTTTAGTTGGAAATCAGTGAAGTATTAAGGTGAATATCCGGATGGTAAAATTAAATATTGGTATATTATTGAAGGGAAAGAGGAGAAATAAAGTATTTGAGAAAATGTATAAACAAATTTATATGGTGGATCTTATGATGAGAATGTGGAATGCCAAAAAAAATGGATGACGGATCGATCTCAGCGAGAATTTTTATGAGTAAATAAAAAATGTTATTTCAATTCAGTCTAAGTTAATCCATTTATGATGCTTCATATAATAATGGCAGAAAGGTAGCTATTTGGTATGAAATGAAGAGATTTTGGAAATCAGGATTTCTTAGAACATATAATTTTATAATTAATGAGAGTGAGTTAAAATTGAAAATTATAATTTTATTCAAATTTCAATTATATTTCTATACTTTTATTATTAACTCTTGGCTACAATGTTTTAATATTAAGTTAAGAAACACTATTTGCATTTTTTCTTTTAGTTCATTCCAATTTGTTAACTTTTAGTAAAAGTTTAACTAAAAATTTAGTTATATTTAAATTGAAATAGATATTTGAAATTTTGATTCTACCAGTGTCTATTGAGAAATATATATACAATATTGATTAATTAGTTCAATCTAATTCTTTTTATATTTATGTAAAGTAGGTGAATATAAATATTTTTTTACAATCATACTGATCCTTAGCTTTATTAAAAATTTTACTTTATAATACATTAACGATATTTTCAATCTCATCTAGATAAAATGTTATAGAAGCTTGAAGTTATTGGAATCTTTCAAAAGTTCTAGATGTTTAATTTTTTGATCTATATTAGTTGTGCCTTATTTCATAACTTCAGGAATTTAGAATTTAGAATTAATCTGATTTAGGTCAATAAAAAAGTAGTTTACGTGTGAGCTAATTTAAAGAATCTCAAACTAATTTGACTAGAAATTGTTAATTTTTAGATAAAGTGAAAAATTAATAACTTTTTAAATAGATGCACTAAAATTAAAATAAAACTTACGAAGCAGTTGTAATACTCAAATAAAAATAAATGAATTCAAAACAAGGAATGATGAAAAAATTCAAATCTTAAGTTAACCTATAGGTTATGTATTCACTTTGAATTTCATGAAAAAATTAAATTAGTTAATATCTGGAGATAATGGTGGATCTATTGCAATTTGGTCAAGCTATGACAATAGTTAATGGAATTCATCGTAAAAAATTAAAGGACAAGGTCATTAAATCACTGTTTAATTTTGAAAAACAATGAAGATTTTTTATTTCTAGTAGTTCAGCTAACACAATTAAGTTTTGGATTAACAATCACTGATCATACTAATTATGTTTATTAAATAGATTTAAATGAAGAACAAGATAAAGTTAGTTCTTGTGGATAAAATAATAGAATATTAGAAAATGAGTATTCTGTTTAAAATAAAGCTGGGTGTTATATCATATATAAAATAGATTGACAAGGATACCGATTATGTTTTATCAACAATGATTTATTCATATTTCAACCAAGATATGGCAACATGTTTATGAGATGAATAGTGTCAGTAAATAGTTCACTAAACGAAAAATATTATTATAAATTATTACAAGAGTCCTTGGTGCAGCTCGGATACTAGCAAAAACATTTTTAATATGCCTCACCATTTGCATTATTATAACTATCAAGAAATTGATTCTATTATCCCTTTTATGACTTAGAGGTCCTGATTCCATTTTGCAATTTGCTTATGAATAAAAATTTTACTCCTCTCTTTTCAACAGTTAAATAATTTTTGTTGATTTCGTTTATTAGGATAAAAAAAAGGTGCACTCAGAGGCTGAATATTCAATATTCTAAATTTGCAATTGGTAAACAGCAGCAAAGTTTAAAAACAAAAAAAATTGTTTTCTTCTTTTAATAAGAAAAGAAGAATGTTCAAGATTTTCAGAGCATACTCAATGTACTACTTTTTCATAGCTAGCCTCTCTTAGCAACAAGCTTTTAAGTGAATTATATTGATTCATTCCAGAAACAACTATGCATTCTTTGGAGAGACAGCAATTACGCCTAAAGAAAGTAATATGAATTTCTGTTCTAATTTTCCTCCTCCAAAGATTCAACTCTTTGGAATATTTGGCAGGACCTTATATGGAGTTGAGTTGATTAATTTGACTAATCCATTTCCATCATGTTGGATTAAATTTGCTAGTTACAAATAATAACTTTTGAGTCTTGCATGATTAATTAGATGGTAGATGTTCTCTAATGAAAAACAGAAACCTAAAAATATAAACGAGAGTCTCTGCTTTTATCTATGACACATTTTAGAAGGACTTCATTTTCATGCTTATACAATTATTGTTTAGAGTAGGCATTTAACCATCAAGCACCAAAATAGGTCTGCAATGAATGTTAGTTTGCAACAATGACTCCTATCGACGAATATAATGGTACAACTCTTAAGGAATAATTAGTTTACTAAAACTGCAAATATGGTTTCTTTTTCCTAACATATCAACAGCATGAAAGATCGACAGAGACAAGAATGGTTCTTTTAGATAGTCCTTCATTTAAGAAAATAGAAATTGCCATCAAGACACCTGCTCAAAGCATAGGAGAGGTTCATGCAAGCGCACTTCAACATGTTTTTAAGGGCCTTCACAGGAAAGTGTATAATTATTCTGACCTACATAACTTTTATGCAATCAGGCTGAGATATCGTATTGTCTTAATCAATTTTATGCATAGTAACATACAACTTAATTGCAAAAGGTTAATATTTTGTTTGTATTTAAATATATTCTTGAGAGTATAATTTTGTAGTCAGCATGTAAATTTTTCAAAAACCTCCATTTTAGAGACATTTTAATTGTATCCTTGTACTTTTATTGAGTGTAAATACAATTCAGCTTACTATCATATCTTGAATTGAGTTAGACACAAGGAATCTTGAGGATATTTATATTCTGCAAATTATCCACAAAATCAGTTAAGGTTGATTGTTAATTTGAAGTAGTTTCATATCAACAACAACAGTTTCAATAACCTCCGTTTTAAATGAACGGTTTAAAAAACAATATTTTTCTTATTTAATAAACCATTCAAAAAGAAGGTCTGCATAAGACTTCAGACCCTATTAAGAATTCCAAGATATTAGATTCATTGAGAATAAATACTCATCATGAGGAGCGAAATATTGATTATAGAATAACAATTTGGCTTGCTTAGAATTGCTGAATAATATTTTGAGTTTTCAGTCTATCAATTTATATCCAAACATATAGAACCTGTCTGATTACTGATAGATAAGTGCCTTATTTTTCTAACTATGATGGTACAATTGAGCCTAAGTGTAAATTTCTTGTAAATACCAAACTTAATGATCGAACCTTAAAAACCCTTAGATCACTTTTTAGCATTTCAGAAATAGTTCTTTTATTTGAAGGAGGAATTAGAAACCTTCAGGGTAATGGTAAAATCCCAAAATTGATTTGCATAAGTAGAATGGCAGTTTCTTGAAAATGAGTGTCGAAATTGCAAAACATCAGCTAGCAAAAACCTTTCTCCCTAATTGAAAAAAAAAATGACTGATATGGAAACGGTAGAAATATCCTAATTTGAAAACGAATATTTATTTTTAATAAAAAAAGGGAATATTGTATCAAATACTTCATTTTCATCAGTGTGAAAATGTTTGATTACATATTTTTCATAGATGATTACAAGATAAGTGATAAAGATGATTAATGCTGTTCTGTAAAAATGATAACAACTATAGATATGGATAAGAAATATTCATTTTAATCATTTGGAGTTAGATCGTTTGGACAAGTACAGATTATTAATTTAGTATTCAAGCATCTGATTATCAATTAAATCTTCATAGACACAAGTAATGCCTGCTCTTATTGGAACGAAATGTATTATAACTGTTCTCTTTTCTCTACAGATAGTGGGTTCATTTATTTGAGAGGAATGCTCCTGTTTTGATTCTCAATTCTGAAATATACTCTATCTGTGCATTCAACGAAAATTAAAGCTTCAATTTTCAGAAGCTTGCAATGTTTTTGGATTCTATTTCCTATAGCATAGTTTCTTCTTTTTTATTTTTGTCTAAAGTATAGTCTTGTGTTGAATAATCTACAGCTATTCAAACAGAAGATCTATTACCCTTAAATTCGATCTCATCCTAATCTAACAATTTGGAATTGGCTTTTCATCAAAGATGATATCTAGAGTATCATTGACTCGTGTTTTTTGTCTAGTTGGGAATAACTATTATTTAAATAATCTGTTTTTTGGATGCTATAGATCTTGCGGTAATTACACCAATGGGTCTTCTCTGACAAATCAATTTTTAATTAATTTTGAGAAAGGAGTGGCAACTTTGCAGACCATTAAGATGTTTTCCTTATCCTACAATTAGAGATTCAAGACTTAAGAGTGATTTTCTGTGTCAAGTACCTTTAAGTTGAAATGCCTATCCAAGATTACGAAGAATTCAATAAAGCAAATAATTCGATTTTAATTTTAATGGGAAGTGTAATAATGGCTTTTTTATGGCCAAATTTATAATACTGTATTCTAAGATTCAATTATTTTATTATTGACAGTGAATTGTCTAGCACCGCATTTCGTATTGTTTTTCTCATTGAAAGCAATTTACAAGATATAAACAGCAATAAGTTATCAAGCATTTCACATATGAAGCATTCAATTTTATCTTCTCATGATCTCTTCCTTTCATTTATATCTCACTGCATAATCTTAATACATTCTAGTAGGCCATCTTTTTTTATAATTAAGTCAAAGAGTTTAAACAGGAAGTCCATGAAACGGCATGTACATAATACCAAAGAGCTTAATTTGAGGAAGATTACCAAGCACCATCAAGATTTTTGAGTCAAGTTCAGGTAGCATAATCTGTGTCATAAACAGTGCAACTAGCTGGGATTTTTATTAGTATATGAATTACTTGTGATATTGGCAACACCTCCTTAAAGTGTTTCGTTTCATCGATCAAAAAATTACTGTAAATTTAAAAATGTGCTCTGCATCTTGCAGGATAATTAAAACATCCTTAAGAAGCTGAGTATTTGTTATCCAGCACTCTTCATATTTTGTATTTTTCTTGAGTTATACTTTATTGGAGATGTACTATAGGCAACAAATGTAGTACAACCTAGCAACTGAAATAATAAAATATTTCAATTTAAAAAAATCAAGTAAATGCTGCTTTTAAAAATAAAATGATATTTCAGACTAGAAATAATTAAAATAGGATTAGCTTCATAATTTTCAATTGTCTACTTATTAAAATGACATTATTTGATAATCACTATTTAGTAAACTTCATATATTTTCTGTAAGAGCTATTAATGACCTGAAAAAACTATTTACAAGTGATATCTGTAGAATGTTTCACCATTTGTAATTGATAGATTGACATTTTTATGTTGATTTAAGATGACAATAAATAAATCTATAATAAAGGAAAACGTAAAATTAATATAATTACAATAAGAAATTTGTTATGATTCCCATTTTTCATTAAAAATCGAATAAAGGAGATGTAAAAAAGTGAAAAATATGCTCATGGAGATTCATATGATAGAGAGTATTTAAATGGTGATAGACATGGAAAGGGTTAATATCAATTGGCTAATGGAAATCAATATTATGGAGATTGGAAAAACGATAAAAGAACTGGAGGGGGTAAATTCCAATATGTTAGTGGAGAATCATATGATGGTGAGTATTTAAATGGTGAGAAACATGGTAAGGGTGAATATAAATGGGCTAGTGGAAGTATATTTATGGAGATTGGTAAAATGAGAAAAGAACTGGATGGGATTAATAAAAATGAGATAGGGTAAATGGTAACAGACATGTATGGGGGAATTTTAATCTGCTAAAGGTGAAAAATATAATGGTAAATGGGTCTTCGATGAAAAAATGTGAACATTTGAATTTGTTATTACAAGTGCAATTTATCTGAAAACGAATATGCTTTTTTTCATTAGAATAACATCATTCATAACAAATATTTTTAGATTTCATTCAACAACTTTTTAGAGTAAGAATTAAAAGATTTACTTGCATAAAGGGACTTTTGATCTAATAGGAATAAATTTATAGCCTCATGTAATTTGGATCTAACCCACTATAATAGCCATCTTTGATAAGGAATTTAAAGCATTAAAAATAAAAAGAAATGACCACTATCCTCAATCGAAGCTTCTTATTTTACAAAATTAAATGAAAAGAGTAGTTAAAGATAATTAATTAGATTGAACTTAGATAGTGATTTTAAAAGGATTTACACTTATGAGTAGTAGACTTAGTTAAACAATTAGAAAGAGTAGCATTTACAATGCTTGAATTTGGAGATGTTGAAAATTATAATAACTTAGATTGATTTCTTACGTCTTAAAATATATAAAGTGAAATCGTTTTGAGAGTGAAGTTTTTATAGAATTAAGTAGATTATATGAACAGCTATTGATAGTGAGGATATATGATTTGTTTAATTATTGCATATAACCTAATCAAGCTAATTTAAAAATACGATTTGTTTGAAATAAATAAGTTGATGAGAAGTTACGATCATTTTTTAAAGTTGAGATTTCTAGAGTAGATAGATTCCTGTTGGTAATCAAAATAAAAAGAAAATATGGATGAGAGGATTCAAATTAACGACTTAATGGTTCTAATCCAATGACTATACAATTAGATAAGAACCATCTAATTTACCTATGGTCATTAACAGAATTTTGAGGGTAATAAGAGAAACACATTCCTAACTAATATTAGAGAAGTTAGAGATGGATTAAATGGAGGATAAAAGCATTTATTTTTGAATCTATTTGTTTTCAAAATTGATTTGGGCCTGCTAAGACAACATTAAAGAAGGGTTTAAAGATTTATATTCCAAGTAATTTTGACTATTACACAAAGCTTTGAATTGTTTATTGATAATACAAATATAAGCTTATGTCGAAAATTATTTTAAAAGTGGTTATAATAGGAAATTAATAAAAGATGCCAAAGTTTTTATTATAACTTAAGTTATCTTATTTCGTAATTTTCTCAGGAACTTAATTTTTGAAATTCTACATTCAAATATATTTTTCTAATACTAAAGATCCTAATTTGGCCTCAAGATTTCCTAACTTCAAATTACTTAGAATTTATAATTCTTCATCCTTCAATTTTCAACATCCCTAATACTCGAGAAAACTTAAATTAAATTTTGAGCTCAAAAGATTTGATCGATTGTATATTAATTATTCTCTGAGTTTGATTAAAGTATAAAGATGAGATAGAATAGCCGGAGTGCATTTTTTCTTGGCATATAGACAATCAATAAAGAATTAAAAAATAGTAGTTATTTAAATTTATTAGCTTCATTTAATATAAAATATTTTCAAAGAATTTATTTTAAGGATTTCTTACTATTACTAGGCTGAATAATAGTTAAATAATTAAAAGCGTTTTTTTTTGCAGAACCAATCATCAATGAGTCTTTTCTTGTGGTATTCAATACTTAAAACTAAGACAATAACATCAGAATTTTTGAATTTGAAGGCAGTCTTTTGTAATGTATGTTACGTCAGCTTTAACTATGCAAGAAGACTTTTTTTAAACCTTCTAATAATTCTTTAAAATGTGGATGCTACTGAACAATTAACAATTTGCAAACTCCAGTAATCTCCTTCAACCTCGCCAGCAGCATTTCAAACTACTTGTTTAATGTATAAAATATTTCATACATAAGTTTAAGGATCCTATTAATATTTTTAGTAGCACACCATCTTAGTTTTGAACTTAACATTTAATTGTTTAATTCTTCAATGAAGTTAAAGAAAGATCAATACTTCCAACAGAATCGGTATTAATAACATCCTGTTTTAAAAATAATTAAATAATACATATTTTTAATCATCAGCTGAACAAGTAATTAATTAGAATGAGAAAGTCTTTGGCATCATTATTTCTAAGATTAAAATGTTAATGTAGAAAATATATAAGAATGAAAACGAACTATTTCTTAATTTATTTTCAATATATTAGAATATGTTCATTTTATAAAATTTGTTAAATAAATTTATATTTTTATTATCTTTGAAAAATCTAGAAGAGCTAATTAACTCTCAGATTATTCATTTTCATGAGTTAAGTAAAATAAATTATTATTTAGTCATTAAAAGTTTCTCTCTAATTTTATCTAATTATATTTGAAATTCTCTGGAACAAAATAATTTTGTATGTTCGCTTTGTAGAGGAATGACATAATCATAAATACAATATAAGTGAATTTGACTTAATCAGCTAATAAATGAAACTGTAAAAATCTATAAGACATTTAATTTATAACTATGCATGAGTTTAGAAATATAAATTTTTATATGAAATTCCCATTAAAATTTTCAATTATTCAATTTGAAATATTATTAAACATTGTACCTTTTGATGAATACATATACACGAATGGATAATGTTCTTGTTATAAGGATATCTCTATTTACAGCTACTAAAATTAGTATTCATAGTTTCAACAATTGCTATTGGATTCTGCTATTAAGTCCGTTTACTATACTTATGCTTAATACTCACTTCTATTAAGATCATATCATAATTTTTATAAGTGATATATTCTGAATTAATTTAATACCTCCTGCATTTATGTAATTATTTCTTATATCATATCTCTAAATCCTATCAAAATATAAAATTAAGTACCACTGATCTTTGGAATTTATTATTCATAAGAAATAATTCTTTTTAAATATTTAGTATTATGCTTTACATGATGTGTGACTCTAGCTAAAAATATAGAGACTTCAGAAATGTTTTCAGGAGACATAGCGGTTAACTTTTTTGAGTATTTCAAATTTTCTAGAAGAAAGAGCTAATCTTTAGAAGTATCAAATAATAAACTTACTTTTAAATTGATAGAAGACATTGTTATGTGTAGAGCATATTAAGATTATTAATTCTAAACACTATATCACTTTAAGAATGGTTAATAAATTATCCAGGAAATCCAAATGTACGATACTCATTATTACAACAGATTTAGATGCTCGGTAAAGTAGTTGATTTTATACCTTTTACAAATGCTACTATACTGATCGTACTACAGAAAATGAATAAATTTTATATAAGTTTATAAAATGGTTTAATATACGTGGATTCATAAGGAAAGTTTTAAATATTGACTGACAGCATTAAGTGAAAGAAAAAGCTAGAGAAATAGAAAAAAGGTAAGACATGAAGGTGATTATGGCATATATAATTAGATGTATTTTTTTTAAGTTAAATTAATTAGAAACATGTTGCCATTATGTGCAATCAAAAGATTTAGCAGAGGAAGTAATGCACTCAAATAACTTAACGGAAGATTACATCTTTACTTTTGAAAAAGAAGTGCTTTATCAAAATTGTCTGAAAGCAAAACCTACAACTGCTATATTCATTTACNTATATTTTTATTATCTTTGAAAAATCTAGAAGAGCTAATTAACTCTCAGATTATTCATTTTCATGAGTTAAGTAAAATAAATTATTATTTAGTCATTAAAAGTTTCTCTCTAATTTTATCTAATTATATTTGAAATTCTCTGGAACAAAATAATTTTGTATGTTCGCTTTGTAGAGGAATGACATAATCATAAATACAATATAAGTGAATTTGACTTAATCAGCTAATAAATGAAACTGTAAAAATCTATAAGACATTTAATTTATAACTATGCATGAGTTTAGAAATATAAATTTTTATATGAAATTCCCATTAAAATTTTCAATTATTCAATTTGAAATATTATTAAACATTGTACCTTTTGATGAATACATATACACGAATGGATAATGTTCTTGTTATAAGGATATCTCTATTTACAGCTACTAAAATTAGTATTCATAGTTTCAACAATTGCTATTGGATTCTGCTATTAAGTCCGTTTACTATACTTATGCTTAATACTCACTTCTATTAAGATCATATCATAATTTTTATAAGTGATATATTCTGAATTAATTTAATACCTCCTGCATTTATGTAATTATTTCTTATATCATATCTCTAAATCCTATCAAAATATAAAATTAAGTACCACTGATCTTTGGAATTTATTATTCATAAGAAATAATTCTTTTTAAATATTTAGTATTATGCTTTACATGATGTGTGACTCTAGCTAAAAATATAGAGACTTCAGAAATGTTTTCAGGAGACATAGCGGTTAACTTTTTTGAGTATTTCAAATTTTCTAGAAGAAAGAGCTAATCTTTAGAAGTATCAAATAATAAACTTACTTTTAAATTGATAGAAGACATTGTTATGTGTAGAGCATATTAAGATTATTAATTCTAAACACTATATCACTTTAAGAATGGTTAATAAATTATCCAGGAAATCCAAATGTACGATACTCATTATTACAACAGATTTAGATGCTCGGTAAAGTAGTTGATTTTATATAGATACGTGCAATGGTTTTTCCTTCATACCTTTTACAAATGCTACTATACTGATCGTACTACAGAAAATGAATAAATTTTATATAAGTTTATAAAATGGTTTAATATACGTGGATTCATAAGGAAAGTTTTAAATATTGACTGACAGCATTAAGTGAAAGAAAAAGCTAGAGAAATAGAAAAAAGGTAAGACATGAAGGTGATTATGGCATATATAATTAGATGTATTTTTTTTAAGTTAAATTAATTAGAAACATGTTGCCATTATGTGCAATCAAAAGATTTAGCAGAGGAAGTAATGCACTCAAATAACTTAACGGAAGATTACATCTTTACTTTTGAAAAAGAAGTGCTTTATCAAAATTGTCTGAAAGCAAAACCTACAACTGCTATATTCATTTACTATACGTGTATAATTTTTTGTTCATAATCTGATCGAATGAATATAGACCTACGACATCCTTTTATAGAGATTCCTTGAGCAATTCTAAAGTGTGTTAGGAGTTGGAGGATAGAAAGAGAATGAAATAAAAAGTACGAATTTAAGGGGTTCTGAATCTATAGGACGACCATTCAAGGTAGCGAATCAATTAGAAATAACCTGAAAGATAATGACTTATTTCCATTCCTACAAAACTCTATTTCAAGAGGAATCATGAATAAGTACTATCTGCATAACTTAAAGATTAAATGTTTGATAGTAGGTAGCTAAACGTACAGACCTTCCATTAACCTTAGCATTATTATACTTGCTTCCTACTTTTCGTGAATTAGAAATCATAGTCAACCTTAAGAGAAACAAAGGCACTTTTTACTGAGGATTAACAAAATCTTCAATTTACTTTCGAATCAAGGAATCATGGAAGGTGAAGGATATAATACTCGATTGGGAAGAGGCTAGAATCTGGCAAATTAGAAAGAATCAATACAAAGATTACTAAACGGAAATAGGATAGGATGCTCCTCAATCAGGACTAATTGAATTATAAAAAAAACCAATTTGCAACTGAAATTGAGAAGAAATAAATGATTCTCAGATAGGGTGAAATAGAATAATTAAAGATATTTGAAAATTTGAATTATATGATGAAATGGAGGATTATTAAATATGAAGCTATAGAATTCTATTTGTAGGTTTTCTCATCTATCTATGAAATATAATATATGGAAAAATCTATCTATACTTATAAATTAATTATATTAGCGCAAGCAATGTTCTAATCAATAATTATTGAAGGATTTGAAGAATCAAAGTTAAATTTGACTAATAGAATGGATAAAAATTAATCAAGGGTCAAACTCGACAATTCAAGAAAAGAAAACCAATCAGATGCATTTGTGATTTAGAGGACAGGCTGCAGAAGGAAAAACATCTGTAAATGTGGTGAATATGAGGAACTAATTGCCTCGCAGGAAATAAGTACAACTTATACATGACCAAATTTTAATTTGTCTTCATATAATATTGCCCTAATAAATTATGCTTACTGCGATTTATGCTTTTTGTGTCTATTTAATTTAATTTCTTATTTATTTGTATCTCAATTAAGCAAGCAAAATTAAATTCTCGTCTCGAGCATTGGTGTATTCAGCACAAATATCATTTCATTAAAATCATTCTTCCGTGTATTTTTGTTCACGGTATTTGTTATTGATAAATCAATTATCTTTCAACCCCTTGATCCATAACATTTTCCTTTTTTAATCACTCCTTTATGTGATAATCAGACAATATGAGTATCAACAGCCTAATTCAATTAATTCAGAGGAAAGATTCTTTTGCACTAGCTGTTAACTATGAATTTATTACAATATCATAAAATTCTAAAAGTTACTAAATTAAGTTAAATTTTGAGAAGAAAGTAATATCTATTGATAGCTTTATACTTACTGTTCCAATTCCTATCAGTAAAATGAAATTTGTTAGCATTCTAAAAACAATATTGTTATATTGATGTGAATCTTAATATAATACTTAGAGCTTAAGTCCAAATTCATCAGTGTGCGTTGTACATTTTCTTGAGATGAGTTACATTAAATTTATTGCAAACATTTATGGGGCGAATGTTCTATTAAAGAATTATAAGAGATACAAAAAAAATTAAATATGAAATCCTTAAGACTGATCATCTTAAAGTATGAAAAGCTAACTAGTATTTGAATTATGATATAAATTTATGATTGGAGCTGACTGTTGAGATAAGTGCATCGCATATACTGAAACTTGTATGGGAAAAGATTGAACGACAAATAATCGTTAGTTAATAGCAGAGTCAAATGATATTTAATATTTCTCTTTCATCATAAGTGGATCCAGTTTTTGAAATTTAGGAAATTTAAGAATATTAGACACACTCTTGCCATAAACCTAAAAGAAGAAACTATTAAAAAATATTTATAATTATCCCTATTAGATGGTTAATGATGAAGGTCTTTAAAATCTCTTTAGATGATCATTAACATAAATAAATTCAAATAGACGCAAATTTAGGTTTAAAAGATGTCTTCGTAATTTTCGAAACATTAGTATTCATCTACTTCTTCATAAATATCAATATTCTAACATTCTTCATTGTGTTCTTTTTCTTAAAGTTTCCATAACATATTACCAATCATTGCTCCAGCCCATCCGATCTGAATGTGAAATTCAGAAGACATCTAAAGTAAAATAAATATTTAAGTAGTAGATGATTTTCTAAATATTATCGAAATTTAAATGGGGAGTGTAGCATTAAATAGTAGTTATCCATTCTCATGAAACTTTAAAACTAAATGAGGACATAGAGTCTTCCTTTAAACAAAATTTAAATCATTCTTCTGGCATAGAATGCAATAAAGAAATTGTTTTTAATACAATAAAATTCTTTGTTTCATTCGTTTGGAATACTATAATCGAAATAATTTCAAAAATTTTAATTCTGAAATCCAAATTTCTATTTTAATGATAAAATTAGATAATTTAATAACTCTTTGTTTCATAAGTTTTACCTATTTAAGCATTATTTTTTGCTAATATATGCTTTTTAATAATATCATTATAGATGTTTATTTGTTGATAAATTCATTTTAAATTCATCCATTTCATGATCTATAGGGTTTAGCTAGGTGGTAAATATAAGTGATTCACATATCGTAAAACATCTTTAGTTGGATTAAATTCTTTGTTTACAGGGACATTGTCAAAACTATGATAATTTCTAAAACTGTATTTTAGATTACAAATCTGGATTATATTTAGAAAAATGACTGGAATTAATTGCATTCATACCTTAAACATCAATACACAAAAAGATCTCTACTCATTGCCCTTATATTTAACCTATTTATCTAACTTCTTTATCATATTATAATTTGTGTTTTCTTAAACACCATACTTTTGGACTCATAGAATCTTTACCAATTCCAGTTTCATCTTGATAAATTATTCTCTTTCTTCTTTATATGAAACAAGATAATCAATACATAAAGATACTGTTTGCCTTTATTAACACTAGTTGTTGCTTTTCGATTGATTTTTGAGGCCACCTTAGTAAATCCTCAAGATTTTATTCTGTTTAACGAACCTACTTTGATTTATTATTATTTCTTACAGTCTAAAAATCATCATAATAATGTTTCATTTAGCACAATTATCTTAAACCTAAAGAATTCATATATTACCTAAATATCCTTTTCCAATAAAAACAAATAATTAATTTATATATTACTAAATGCTAAATTTTTAATTTATATTTCAACTTACACTCTGATAACCCACTAACAGCTTAAGTATAAGAGGAATATTATTTTAATTGGAATATGATTCGATTTTTACAATTCAAATTGTAACTCTATTTTTTCTTTTTACTTTTGTTGCTATTTTAGATAAGCTATTCGCAAAAGAGTGACGTTCATCAGGATGAACAATGTAATTCAGCCTGTTTCTTGAATTATCCTTAATTTCTTGAAAGTTTTGATGATACCATATTTTAAACATTTATTATTGTCTCTAAGTAAAAGATTTTAACATTGATAAGGCAAGGGCCAGTGAGAGGTTTAACGATTGTCTGAAATTTTATTGTAATTGCTAGTTAGGATTAACTAATACTATGGTATTTTATTAAAAATTTACAAATAATAAAACCATAAGTTTAATATGAGTTATAAGTATGTAGAAAATACATCGGATTTCAAAGTATATTCTTCTATTTGTTCTTCCAGATTGTTACCTTTTTGGGAATATCGTCTAAAATATGACAAAAACATAATGGAATAATATAAATAATTTGGATTTTTCCATTAAATGAGTCACGCACTTATGATTAATTTAATTAAATACATAATTAGATTTTTTGCTTGAGAGCGCATCAATTAACCTAATCTTAATATTTAATTAATTATAATATATATTTGATATGTGAAAAATCCATTTTATATCATTTTTCAACTTTCCTGTTTCTTTAATGAGCATACATTCCCATTTAATGAATATATATTGATAATTAAATTGAAAGTAAAAGTTTGGAAAGTTGAAAATTATAAAAAATTGTCTTTAAATTAGTCAATTTCTAGATTAAGGTTTAGAAATAGTTAGAGATAATATAAATACCATTTGAAAATATCTTCATCATTGATCTTTAATTAATAATTATGTTCTGATAATCAATCTAAATTTGAAAAAGTAAAATTATTAATCATATATTTTGCTTTTTTAATTCTACCTTTTTGTTAAGAGTAATTAGATTGAGATACTAATGAGCAAATTTTAAGGATTTAATTTTTACCTTAATAAAATGAAAAAATGGTGTTCAAAAAAAAAGCAATTATTTCTATACTCAATTTTAATGAGTTGTCACTGTTAGAATTGTTCTCATTCTTATAGCTTAGTTTTAAATTATGTAATTTAAGCTTAATCATCAAATTGATTTGATTAATAAAAAAAATTTAAAATTGCCTATAGAAGAAATTCTCAGAATACAAAATGGGCCTCAAATAAGCAAGTTTTTGAAGTATTATTAGTACCTGCTCTATCGCAAACATATACTAAGAATATCATTTTAAATTTAGAATATTTTTCGACATTTAAACCTATAACATCAACATTTGAATAATATTTGTTTACTTCCAATTATTATAAAAATAACATGAGATTCCTTGAAGATTAATATGACTTTTACCAAAAAAGGTATCTAGATTTTAATTTTTGGTTCTTAAATATTCATTCTCCAAGACATACTTATTTTGCATGATGCATATGTTTTGTTTATATAGCAAGACTTTCGATAGGAAACCTTATCCATTAGTACTTTTCTTCGACACAGATAGCAGAAGCATTCATTTTTACATGGAAAAGAGGAAGCATTATACTTTTGGAAAAGATATTATAGATTAGGCAATAGATTGCATTCGAAAATAAATAGAAACGATGAGTCGATTAGATGAATTTGTGATTATAAGTACAATAAGTGGAGGTACTGGTTCTGTATGCCTTTGTTGGTTTTCTAGATAAAGCAATATATATTGGATTTATAATTTTCCCATTTTCTGAGATGTCAAATAGTGTAGTTGGATTTTCTAATGCCGTATTCTCGATTTATTCTATGACTAATTATTCTAAGAGTATAACAATGTTTGACAATTTGTCAATGTAAAATTAGAATTTAGTTGATTATTAATATTTAAATACCTCTGTGGCTCAAGTAGTATTCTAGTACGTATTATTTAACCGTATGATAAAATGAATTATTTAATTACACTAGAACAGAATTATACCAAACATAATTCATTGAATATATAACTAAAAAGGAGTATTAACCCTATCAATGTCATCTAATTCTTCGTCATATATCAACAGCATTACTATTTAGATAAAAATATTTTTGGTTAACTTGGTGGAACTCTAATCAATTTTAATCTTTTCTTTGGGATGACCTTTATAAAATGTTATTGTTTTAAGCAGATTACACATTTATATTTTGAATCTGTAATCTGTTGAAAATACTGACATTTTTAGTTGATATTCTGATCATTCATTATGAATATTAATGATTTTGTGATCAGATTTTGCAAAAAAGGTATTTAAGCCATATTAAAGGCATCATTGTTTAATGATTATCAGCCGAATTAAATATTACTTTGATAAATAGGCTAGAAATGGTTTAAAAGCAAACTTACTGGAACCGAGAGGCTATGATTAGATTTTTTCAACATTCATTTCAATTTGAAAAAACTTTAAAGATTACTCTTAAATGTTTGAAAGTTGTATAATGATGAAAAATAGATTCTAAAATAAAGAAATTTTTAAAAGATAGGAGTTAAAAATTACAAACATTTAGAAGGATAAGACACTACTTTAGCAACTAAAAAATAAAATTTTAACATTTTAAACAACAAAAGATGATTTAAATATATTTATGTTTGTATATTATATAATGAGCTTAGAAGGTTTTTGATTGGACTAATTTTTAAATGCTATTAGTTATGTCAAAGGAATACATCATTCTTTGAACAAGATATTTTTTATCATTAAAGAAAAAGAAAGTTTATTCATAATCTGCTAATTACTTTATGTTAATTCGCATGACAAAAGGTAGAAAGGACAAGATATTTAGAGAAGATATCTTTAATTTACAATATTATAGACACTAGATGTGAAAGGGAGGCTTAAAAAAGATATTTAAATTTTTATTGATGTATAAATAATTGAAAAAAGATTTCAAATTATTAATTAACGTACATCCATAAATTAGCAAAATCAAAATATAAAGTAATAATTTGCTGAGTAATCCAATAAAGAAATAAAGAGTTTAACTTTAAATTAATATCTGATTCAGATATTTTTTGTTCAATCTTTAAAACATAAATTGAGTACAATTTGAGACTACTCTATTTAAATCTACCTTGATAATCAAAGAAAAAACTCAGGGGCTAAATTTTTATCAACCAATTCATCTAAAATATATAATATAATTCTACTATTGTATCATTTTATTAAGTAATTAAGTATTAATTTACAAATGAAATATCTATCAACTGCTATTTGATAGCATCATTTTCTTTGTAATAAATTGCTGTAATATTAATTTGGATTAATACCAAAAGATTTTAGGCTAAATTATAAATTAAGAGGGAGAAAATTATTAGGTTTTCTTGCTGTTTGATTTTTTCATAAGATTTTAAGTTGTCTAACCTTATAAGTAAGGTTTTAACACAAAATTAGAAGTTTTGAATCTTGAATAATGACATTCTAAGGTTGATGAACATTGATTTGATTAAATTAGATATTTATGTTTAATAAATTAAACGATATGAATATCTTCATGTTCTAACGATAATATTAAGGCTTCATAGCCTTTAGATGATTTATTAGTAATAGCAATCAAAAATTTAATAAATGTATTTATAATTGAAAATTATTTGTTCGTCAAAGTTGAAGTTTAAAGAAGGCAACATAGCGTTCAAATTTTATTCTTAAACCTACAATGGAACTTATGCTAATCCTTTTTAATATTTTTGATTATTAACTATCAAATTCTCAAAATATTTCAATTAAATAGCAATATAATTTAGATTTGATCAAGATTACTTTTTATTCTAACTTGATTTTGAATTCTTTTTACAAACTTGATAAGGAAATCAAACTGAAGGTTTTTGCTAGCCTATAAAATTTTGAGTGATTGATTTACACAATTACTAACTTTTTTTTGTGAAAATGAAACAAGAACTAACAAGATTTATTATTAGCAACATGGATGCATGATTCAGTTGAATTGAAGGCTTTTTAAATTGTAAATACAAGTAGCATAATTTTTCAAGTTAAAACCTAAAGCTACATTTTAATGAAATTTCGTAATATTACAAATTTACTATTATAAACGGCTTTTGTATATTTGGAACAAAGAGTTAGCACAATTCAAGAAAAGAAAAGTATTTGTCTAAACTATATTCACAGTTTACACTTGTCAGATTCGGATAGAACAAGGAGACGAGCGCAATGCAAAATAATACTCATCAATATAAGATGTATGTGAAATAGAATTTCAAGCTAGGCAATAATTGTAACATAATGTGCTTTGTTTTTATCCTGAATTCTAATTAATAAAAATTGCAAGTCTTTTTGCATCGAGTTTTGCATGTGCGACAATACATTATCTGAAATAATGCATTTTCGAGTCATAATAGCATCAAAATAAGTAGTTTTAACATAAAAAGTAAGACTACTAGATTAATAGATTTTGAAACTGATTATATGTTTTCTATAATTTCTCAACCTATTTAGAAAGCGATGACCACAGAGATATCACAATATGTTTCGTGGGTGATTGGATTTTAGTATATCAACATTATTTTTGTTCTAATTCTTATAGTAACAGTTTCATATTGCGCCAACTTCATCTCAACCTCAACATGCAGTCCTTTTTTTAAATTATTAGTGAAGATTGATAATGTGCTTAATTTAAACAAAGCTAGCAAAATTAAACAATTTTCTTATTAAATTACTAAAGTCTCTCCAAATATGGTCCAGATTTTGCGCATACAATAACTACCCGCCTTCAACTCGGCATAATATTACATATTTAGGTATTTTGTATGATAGGATGAAATCAATCAACCTAAACCCATTTAATTTTATAATCATGATGAACTTACGTTTATGGGAGTTCTCACAATTATTATTTACCTTAATTGCAATGAATTTAAAATCTTTAAAAAGATTTAGTTTTCATCCTAACAATAACACACAAGATACTCATATGGTTTATAGTATAAAACTCTAAACAAAGTAATAGAAATATAATTTATTTTTAAAGTCAAATGAATTGCACTTTTCATATTGAAAGTTAATTATCGATGATATGTATTGCTCCTCACTAGTGTAAATGCTAAAGGAAATTGTGTGTTGAATGCATTTATGAACATGGAGTGGATATCTTATCAAACACTGTTCCAACCAAATTATTTCAATAAATGGCAACCAAGAAATTAAAATAGTCTTAACTTGATGAGAAAACTGATTTAAAAACACAAAGAATGAATTTTTAATCAATGTTCACTTCAACTCAAAAAATGATAAAATAAATTTGTGAATAGTTTGCAGATTCAATAAAGTAGATTTATGATCTGATAGAAAATGAAGATAAATCATATTATGAATACATTTACAAAAATGTGAATCCAACAGAATTGTCACATACGGATTTAGAAAAATTAGTTTAAATTGTGAATGAAAAAATCTTAGAAGATTGGAATATTTAGAAACATTCATATTTGAGGAGGTTGGAAATGACAAAGAATTTTTGGTAAATAGAAACTAAGGGTTTTTGTGAAAAGATAAATTCAGAAATGAAAGAGATTATCTAGTTTATTAAATTGGTAAATAATTCTTAAGTAAACTTTCCTTTAGCTACAGATATAGCGCCAGTTTATAACAGAAAGAAAGATTTGTATGAGGTATTAACTTAGATAAAAAATATTGATGAAACATATCTTTATTAGATATTTGAATGGGTTTAGAAAATCAAAATAACAGATTGCCAAGAACTTTTTTCAAATAAGAGCAAAAAAGAATAAGCCATGTTGAGATATATTAAGGATATTATTGAAAATATTAGTGAAATTGATTTTAATCAGAAGAGTTATTCAACAGAAGAATATGAATAAATAAAAATGAACTTAATTGCGAAAATATCTTAGGATAAGCACATCATTGAATTTATGAAAGTCCTAGTTCATCTTACAGCCATTGATGAAAGATTTATCTAATGCGGATCTAATTCACTCAACATATTAGTATAAATGAAGGTTGATATGAGAGAACAAAGCTTCGAGAATGTAAGGATTAGAGATACCTCTTTAATTGGGGCAAATTTTATAAGATGCAATTTCAATGGGTCCATTTTTGATAATGTTGATATCAGTGGAATGAACTTGAATGGAGCTGTATTGTTCAATTGTATATGGAAAAACATAAAATTAGATAAGTTAAATTAATTAGATGGTCATACTAACTCTGTTTTATCAGTCTGCTTCTCTCCTGATGGTGCAACTTTAGCCTCTGGTAGTTAAGACTATTCTATCTGTTTATGGGATCTTAAGACAGGAAAATCAAAAGCAAAATTAGTTGGTCATAATCATGGAATTTTATCCGTTAGTTTCTCACCTAATGGGACTACATTAGCATCTGGTAGTTAAGATAAGTCTATTCGTTTGTGGAATGTTAAGACAGGACAACAAAAATCCAAATTAAATGGTCATTAAAATTCAGTTTTATCAGTCTGTATCTCTCCTGATGGTACTACATTAGCATCTGGGAGTGCAGACAACTCTATCCGTTTATGGGATATTAAGACAGAATAATAAAAAGCCAAATTAGACGGTCATACTAGAGAAATACGATCGGTCTGTTTCTCTCCTGATGGTACTACATTAGCATCAGGTAGTATAGATAATTCTATTCGTATTTGGAACGTCAAGACAGGATAATCAAATGTAAAATTAGATGGTCATACTGGAGAAGTTCTATCTGTCTCTTTCTCTCCTGATGGTACTACATTAGCATCTGGTAGTTATGATAAGTCTATCCGTTTATGGGATTTTAACACAGGAAAATAAAAAGCAAGATTAAATGGTCATTAATATTCGGTTCAATCAGTCTGTTTCTCTCCTGATGGCACTACATTAGCATCTGGTAGCGTAGATAATTCTATTCGTATNTGGTAAATAGAAACTAAGGGTTTTTGTGAAAAGATAAATTCAGAAATGAAAGAGATTATCTAGTTTATTAAATTGGTAAATAATTCTTAAGTAAACTTTCCTTTAGCTACAGATATAGCGCCAGTTTATAACAGAAAGAAAGATTTGTATGAGGTATTAACTTAGATAAAAAATATTGATGAAACATATCTTTATTAGATATTTGAATGGGTTTAGAAAATCAAAATAACAGATTGCCAAGAACTTTTTTCAAATAAGAGCAAAAAAGAATAAGCCATGTTGAGATATATTAAGGATATTATTGAAAATATTAGTGAAATTGATTTTAATCAGAAGAGTTATTCAACAGAAGAATATGAATAAATAAAAATGAACTTAATTGCGAAAATATCTTAGGATAAGCACATCATTGAATTTATGAAAGTCCTAGTTCATCTTACAGCCATTGATGAAAGATTTATCTAATGCGGATCTAATTCACTCAACATATTAGTATAAATGAAGGTTGATATGAGAGAACAAAGCTTCGAGAATGTAAGGATTAGAGATACCTCTTTAATTGGGGCAAATTTTATAAGATGCAATTTCAATGGGTCCATTTTTGATAATGTTGATATCAGTGGAATGAACTTGAATGGAGCTGTATTGTTCAATTGTATATGGAAAAACATAAAATTAGATAAGTTAAATTAATTAGATGGTCATACTAACTCTGTTTTATCAGTCTGCTTCTCTCCTGATGGTGCAACTTTAGCCTCTGGTAGTTAAGACTATTCTATCTGTTTATGGGATCTTAAGACAGGAAAATCAAAAGCAAAATTAGTTGGTCATAATCATGGAATTTTATCCGTTAGTTTCTCACCTAATGGGACTACATTAGCATCTGGTAGTTAAGATAAGTCTATTCGTTTGTGGAATGTTAAGACAGGACAACAAAAATCCAAATTAAATGGTCATTAAAATTCAGTTTTATCAGTCTGTATCTCTCCTGATGGTACTACATTAGCATCTGGGAGTGCAGACAACTCTATCCGTTTATGGGATATTAAGACAGAATAATAAAAAGCCAAATTAGACGGTCATACTAGAGAAATACGATCGGTCTGTTTCTCTCCTGATGGTACTACATTAGCATCAGGTAGTATAGATAATTCTATTCGTATTTGGAACGTCAAGACAGGATAATCAAATGTAAAATTAGATGGTCATACTGGAGAAGTTCTATCTGTCTCTTTCTCTCCTGATGGTACTACATTAGCATCTGGTAGTTATGATAAGTCTATCCGTTTATGGGATTTTAACACAGGAAAATAAAAAGCAAGATTAAATGGTCATTAATATTCGGTTCAATCAGTCTGTTTCTCTCCTGATGGCACTACATTAGCATCTGGTAGCGTAGATAATTCTATTCGTATTTGGGATTCTAAGACAGGATAATAAAAAGTCAAATTAGATGGCCACTAATAGAATGTTCAATCAGTCTGTTTCTCCCCTGATGGTGCTATATTGGCTTCAGGTAGCTAAGACTATTCCATCTGTTTATGGGATGTTAAGACAGGATATTAAAATGCCAAATTAGATGGTCATACTAGAGAAGTCATATCAGTCTGTTTCTCTCCTGATGGTACTACATTAGCGTCTGGTAGTTATGATAAATCTATCTGTTTATGGGATGCTAAGACAGGAAAATAAAAAGCAATATTAAATGGTCATTAATATTCGGTTCAATCAGTCTGTTACTCTCCTGATGGTACTACATTAGCATCAGGTAGCGTAGATAATTCTATTCGTATTTGGGATACTAAGACAGGATAATAAATATCTAAATTAGATGCTCATGAAAATTAAGTTTTATCAGTATGTTTCTCTCCTGATGGTACTACATTAGCATCAGGTAGCGCGGATAATTCTATTCGTATTTGGGATGCTAAGACAGGAGAATAAATAACCAAATTAGAAGGACATACTCATAATGTTTGGTCAGTCTGTTTTTCTCCTGAGGGAACTACATTAGCATCAGGAAGCTATGATAACTCTATACGCTTATGGGATGTTAAGACTCTAGAAGAAATAGCAAAATTAGATGGTCATACTAGTTGCGTCAATTTCGTCTGTTTCTCTCCTAATAGTAATACATTAGCATCTGGTAGCGATGATAATTCAATCCGTTAATGGGATGTTAAGACAGGATAATAAACAGTCAAATTAAATGGTCATACAAATTGTGTTAATACAGGTTGTTTCTCTTTTGATGGTAGTATAATAGCATCTGGTAGTTATGATAAGTCAATCCGTTTATGGGATGTGAAGACAGGATAATAATAAGCTAAATTAAATGGTCATACTAGAGAAGTCATATCAGTCTGTTTCTCTCCTGATGGGACTACATTAGCATCTGGTAGCTATGATAACTCTATCCGCTTATGGGATGTTAAGTCAACCCTATTAAAAGCCACATTTGACGATCATTTTAAAGAATTCATGTATTTTAGTTTTACTCCTGATTTTACTACATAAGTATCTGGTAATGATGATTAACCAATCCGTTTATGGGATGTAATATCTGGACAACAAATCTTGCATTCAGATAATCGTTACAAAGATATTATGGCATAGCCTTAACCACTAATATTTACTAGCAATATTCTTCCATAAAATGGTATATATATAACTATTGTTTAGTTACCTCTAATATTACTATCCTTCTTATATCACAATAGCTAATATTTCAATCATAGAGTGCTCTCATCTTGTAAGGAGAATTTATTAATCAATCAGGCATCGACTTGAAGACATTATTTTAATAAAGAGGAAGTTGCATTTTAGAAAAATAAAATGGATTTAACTCCAATTAAAATTGATTTTTTACAAATATACAAAATTCTACAATATTAAAAACCTATTTCTATTTTTTTTTTTAATTGATTAGAAATGACATCTGAAAAAATTCTCAAATTAATGCTAGTTTAATCTTTCTACATTAATCTTTAAATTCCTTTGTTTATGTAACAGCATCTTAAGACTAAGGTATAATTCACGTATTTGTTATCATGTTAAACTTCAAAATTTAAAGAGAATTACTAGTAATATTATTAGCCTACCCAAATGGTTTACTTTAACTACTTTAAACGAAAATAGTTTTTGTTGAAGCTATTTAATTGTAATTTCTATCCCATCTCACAGAGTTCTGGAGCATAATCCAAATCTACCAAGATCATTAAATATTTATATGAATCTATTATTGTTTTCTGCCTTTATTCTTCAGGCAAAAATTAAGATATCAAATATTTCATGCAAGAATGTTGGTGAATTTTATATTCTTTTTATAAGCTAATTGTAAAAGTCTAATTTATCAATATTTTGAACAAAGGAGAAACTTATATTCTCTTCCAAATTAAAAAAATAATTATGATTTCAAATTTGATTATCAAGTTGATCTTCTTTCTATTGAATTCTTCTCTGTTTATTTGATAACCCTCAATATATTGGTGAATTTTTGAAATAATATTTTCACCAGTGCTTATAATCATGCTATGTCTTTCCTAATATACTACTTCATTCTTAATTTATCAAAATGCCGTTCAATTTTCATATTTTAGTAGCAATTACATAAAAAAAGGTTATTAGTTATTCAGAAAACTATTTAAATAAATTAGTTTTCTTATGGTTTCATGTCAAACCAGATAGAGAACAAATGATGTTCAATATTAGATATCATTCGTACATTTTGACATTTTTACTTCCTTAAGAATCAAAAATTGTTGATATTTTTATATTTGTACTTTACAATAGGTTTGATGAATTAATGTTTTGCTAAATGTATAAATATTGAGTAATACAATAAATTCAAATATAAATTCCTAAGAATTTGAATGAATGGAAATCAAAGTTTTTTTTTTAAGCAAACCAATAACCAAGAAGAGCGGGAGCGGTGTTTAATCTGTAGAAAAATCTTTAAAGGTGAGTTGCCTCAGTTCAATATTTGGAATAATCATTTATTATCAGAGGAACATTTAGAAATTGCATATATCGAATGCATAAAACCGAGGGTTTTAGTGACAATGCATAATTTAATAATTCAGAATAAATTGATGCAGTAAATCTAGTTGATTAATACTATGCCAAAGAATTATATCATCAACCATAAATAAAATGGAGTAAAATTACTTTTAGTAAACTAATATTTGAACTAAATATCTTCAATCACCAGCAATCAAAAAAAAGGAGGCTTTACTTAGCATCTCTGCTGTAATAGTTTGAAGAGATTTTTATTGTATTTTCTTAAAATCTAAGGACCATTATTAGGAAGGAGATTTAATTTTCTTATAGAAGGAACAGTTTAAATAAGATAGTTAATCTGCCATACAAATATTAACTAGATAAACAAATGATATTGAGAACAAAAAAAAATTATAATCATAAGTTTAAAATAATAAGAGTGGGAAAATAAATTGCTTAAATTTTTGTAGAGCAATCTAGCAAATGAAATCACTTAATAAAGAGTTCAACGTTTATAAATAACAAAGAGCAAATTTATAAATTGTTAAAATACTTGTGATTAAAATGCTTGTGGAAAGCTAAATTCGAAACTCAAATGCATTTTGAACTTAATTTCTGATAGTATTATCAAAAATGAAATCAGAGGTCTTTTGTAATGCAGCAGCATTTTGGAAGCAATTAAATATTGTTTAGAACATAATTTTAGATGATATAGATAGTTATAATTTAAATAACTTGAGAAATTACCAAACCCCTACCTATAGTTTGAGTTTGTGAACATTAAATATTTCTTAAGTTATATACTTTTCGTTTACTATTTCAACAGCATATAATTTTTATATTTAAAGGAAAATAACCAAACAAAAAGTCTCCTTTTGTTTTAACACACAAAAGCTAAATTAATATTATTATTAAACCCATTTAAGAAATAAACAAAATAGTATATCATCTAATTAATTTCGCTCATTCTGTTTTATATGAGAATAAAATATTTTTAATTCTTTAATCTCTAAATTGTTTTATCTTTAGTACTAGGCTAATTTATCGTTACTTACACGTAATTAAGACAGAATTGAATTATTATTTTATGAGCTAATTTTATTGATTATTTATTCCTAAAATTTTATGTGCATTATTCATGTGGGTAAATGTATTATAATTATTTGATATCTTAATAATATTTAAAATTGCATCAGAATTTATGAGATTAATTTTTAATTATGATACTAAAACCTTCAACTCAATATTTATTTGAACATGGATTTTAGGGAGGAAAATAAGAATTACATATTCTAACAAGATCTTCTTTACTCTAAAACATTGTAGATTCAAATTGAAAATAAATGTGATTTCATATGTTTGAAAAATACAAATATGATTTCAATTTTCTTCTTGGAATTACACATTTATACGGTTAATAGTTCAATCTGATTTTTCTTTTAAATTAAAATAAAATTTTATGTGCATTATTCATGTGGGTAAATGTATTATAATTATTTGATATCTTAATAATAAAATGTTCACTTTAAAAAATAATAATTATTATAATGATGTTAATGATATAAATGAAAACCCCCAATCCTCTTCCCCTTAGGTGGAATAGGAAGTGGCTAGTATAGGTGACCTTTCGACCATGGACATTGTTGCTCTAAGTAGTCTCCTGTATCATCTCAGAATATCTCTGATTCAGTCCAGATGACAGTTTATGGAAAATTGGTCCTGCCTTGGCCACTTAAGTGGGTCAGATTTAGTAGAAAGGTTTGGCTTTAAGGACAGAGCTATTGCAAAAGGTTCATGGGTAATAGTATGAGAGGAACCTTCCGAAACTTCCTTATGATGAACCTAATACTTATAAGTTCTAAAGGATCTGATGTTTTTGTATTATTTTAAATATCTTCCACAAACGAGAGGCTGTGTTGGAGAAGATTTCTTAGGATCACCAATGCCACTACCCTTATCACTCTTTTTTCCTGTAGTATTCCTATCTTTAGGCGAAAGCTAGACTTTATTATTCCCAACGAGTTAAATTGGCTATGTCTCTAACTTAGGTTTTACATCAGGTGTATCTCTAAAGGCTTCAGTTTATCTCTTCTACTTATTAATGTACTAAGTTTATCCTTTTTATTATTTCATGTCTTCTGCATATCTTCTAAGATTTTCCGAATTCCTTTTAATTTCCATCTGATTCTCTTCTAATAGAATTATTTTAGCAACCTTTGGATAAGTCTTGATATTTTTATGGGGATTTAAGCTATGATAAGATAAAGCCAAAATAGATTGTAATTGTAATGGAATTCAATTAGATTGTTGTTTCTCTTCAGATTGTATTACTTAAGCGTCCATTAGTGATGGATTACTTTTCGATAGAATTCAAGCAATAAAATTATTTGAATTATGAATGCAACTAATCTAGAAAAAAGTTTTCAACTTTGAAGGTAACCCCATATTTCTAGTATTTACCTATTAGGCTAAGTAATCAGCTGCCACTAAAATTTCAAAATTTTTAAAGGAGAATGTTTAATCCTCAAATTCTAGCTTTACATAAAACCTAGTTCCAAACATGTGGAAAAGGTTGTTTAATGGGAATTTTTCATAAATAGAATAATGCCAACGAATTTAATGTAAAAATTTAATTATGAATTAAAAAAACTTCAGCTGTGCAGTTTGTATGGTGATATTGAAAATTAACGGAGTATTGGTATTAAATTGGAAAATGGATTGACTTGAGAGATGGATTTTGGGAAAGGTAGTAAATAATTTAAGAAGGATAAGAAAAGTGTGGAAATAAGATTGGTCAATAAAATACTTTTGGTTAAATGTAAGTGATAATATCATTTTGCGTAATTTTTAGCATAGGACAATTATGATATATACTCAACCAAGTGTGGGAATTCAATTGAATTAATTGAATTCTTTGGCTTCATAAATCACTAGTTTGGAGAATAAAAAAATAATATCAATTTGCAGATCGGATTTAATGGCTTGGGGTAAATAGATGAAATGTTGATAAATTGTTAAAGTAGTGGTGGATTGTGTAGATTGATGAAAATTAAAAAAAAGAAAGAAAAAGAGCCATAAGTTTGGAAGGTGGATGAGTTATGCGATTGTAGATTGTGTTCATATGTCACTAAAAATAAAATGATAAAAAAATGGGACATTGTCAAATGTCAATATTTTTTTAATTTGTAATTTAAGGGAGGTGGAAAATAAGTTGAAGAAAATAAGTTAGTAGGTTCTGAAAAGAACGGGATTTGGGTTGAGTTATGTGATGGGTTTAGAAAGCATTCCCAAGTCACTGTAATATGGAATAAAATTAGAATATGAAAGAGATAGAATCAATGAGTAACAAAAACTTTAGAAGAATGAATTACTATAATTGATAAAACAATCCTTAGATTAATAAATGCGTTAATTTGTTACACTTATCGAAAACTCTTATGTTTTGAAGAAAATAATCAACCTCATAAAAAGCTCTCTACAAGTAAATTTTTTTTTTATTTTAGTTATATTGGGTAAAATTAAATAATTAATTTGAAAACTAACCTTTAAAACAATCATATCATTTTTTTTCCTCTAATAGATTATATTTATATATTGTTTTTAATTTGAAATTGTTTTTGTAGTGTTTACATTATTATTTCAACTTTTAAAGAAATAATACAAGTTATATTTAAATTAGATTATATTTGATTAATTTCTATTGTGGTATATAATTTCTAATATCATTTGAACAAGAATAAAATGTGTTTAAATTTGATTTACTCTCATGCCATTCAAATAACCATGTTAATATAAATCTATTTGATTTTTAATGATTTTAATGAAAATACTTATATTTGAATTATTTGAGTTATTTAATAAATTCAAATTACTTTAAATTTGTTTATTAAGTGAAAATCATTATTTTATTGAACTTCCATCTCAACAATTGCTGATAATGAAATTCTAAATCAATTTCAGTGAAATGAAGAAAAATTAGAATATCTATTAATAATCTATCATCAAGAACTAAAGTAAGTTTTGAGTTTTTTTTGTGATTGTTTTTAATCAAATATGATTTTCTTTCTATTTTAATTGTAGGATAATTATTATAATTGATTATTTATTACATAAAATTTATATCATAATCCTAAAGATTATATTGCTATTAAATATAAATCTAAAGAAAATGAACAAATTTTATCAATTAAATTGTGACCCTATCCATATAAGTCACATTTTAAATATTTAAAGAATTTCAAAAATATTAAATAAATGAATTTCTGTTGAAAAATTCATAATTAATATAAAACGATATATTATGAATTAAGTTTTAGAAATAATCCTCAACTAATATTTTCTAACTCCAAATTCTTGAATTATAATACTAGAATGAAAAATATAATTAGTCATCTATTCAAGAAAGATTATTACAGATATATACAAAAATTTGAAATATAATAAATAAAGAAAATTGAAAAGTTAAATGTTAAAATTACATATTTTCCAAAATAATTAATAATAACAAGAAGGAACTTACTTATATACAAGTACAGTTTGATTAGGTTAATTGATATTTTAGTTATAAACAACCAAATTTGATTTAAGTTGGATATCATAATTCTGCAACGTATTCATCCATTTTTCATCTTTTTTTAAATAAACATATATAGATTAATAAATATGCTAATTTTCTTTCAAATACAATTTGTTATTGCTTAATGGTAAGTATATTATAGCTCCTTTAATCGACCTTCTTTGCTCTATTGTTCCGATGATACTTGCCCTTTTGGATTTAAGTAAAATTAGAGTTCAAAGATTGCTCTATATAGAAATTGCACAAATCCAAAAGGAACAGCCTTAATTTTATAAGATTCATAAATGAGCACCGTTTCAAATTACCAATATTACACTTAGAATTCTTATTCATATAATCATACAATTGTATTTGACGTATACTACATTTCACAATGGTATAATGACGCACTGATATTTGAATATAAAAATTAGGCTTATTAATTTATTTATTCTACGTAGAATCCTTTAAAATTTGAGAATGGAGCATGCGATTCAGAATACCATGAAGTAAGAACATATCAAATTTCTCTTCCATATACTAATTAATATACGAATATTAAATTCAGTCTAACAAATAATTTGACAAAAGCATTAATTAGAAACATTCATTTTTCTTATATATCTTGTCACCTTACCTGTAAAACATGTACAGGATATGGCTTCAATGAATGTACATCCTGTTTTTACGATGTAATCTTAACAGATGGAATTTGTAGATGTCCTAAAGGGAAATCATTATTTGGAGATAGATGTTATGAGTACTGCCCTTTAGGATATACAGATAGTAGGAGAAGGTATTGTAAATATTATTAACCATCTTATTTCTTGAATTTGTATTTATTCCCTTTCTATTATACTCAATTAATAAGGTGGGATATTATTTATGATCTTCGATACTTGAGTAATGAAAATAAAAAAATTGCCCCATACTTTGGAATCTTTAGATATAATGAAGGGGCAAACACTATAGTTAATACTACTTATTTTGTTTATCCATTAGGAATGCAATTGTATATTTATACATGTAATGCAACTTCAATAAATTCAGGATTTTTGATATATTTAAACAATACTTACTATTCTTCAATATATTATGATGGAACACAATATATTGGGAATAATATTTAAATTTTCTATTAATCTGTCATAGTATTAAGTGGTTGTTAAACTGCAAAGGCTGTATTATTATATACAAATCTCAACGTAGAATAGGGAAGCTTCACTTTTTCGATTAAAGGGAACTCTACGTATAGATAGCTTATTTAAATTTAGATCTGCTAATTTTGGATGGTATTTGACATATGCTCTAATGAGTAGTGCAAACTGTCCGGTTTATTGTTTAAAGTGTGACAAAGACTACTTTTGTTCATAATGTTAGATCGGGTTCAAAACAGTATCAGATGGTTATTGCGTTACATCATGTCCAAAAGCATCAATACTTTAGTATAATAATTGTATCAAATATGATTAAGTGACGAAATGTAATACTCATATCTAATATTAGACTCAAAGTATCTTATCTAGCAATTCTATGACTTTATTGTTCCAGATAATATAAAGTCATCGTTTGTCTTAGAATCCTCAACAAGCAAAGACTTTTAAAAAGGTGATGAAATTTATTGGTCGTATATTGATTCAAATGTTGTTTATGGAGGAAAGTATGTTTGGGCCACAGCGAGATTTTCATAAATTTATACAATTAATTCCCCATACCATTCATTAACAATATATTTTGATGCCGTATTCGGATGCAATTTTGATGCTGTAACAGGATACTTGGGATATTCAATTAATAACTAAACTGAAAAATCAGTGTCTATGAATTCTACAGTAAGTATTAATATTATGAATCCTTAACCTACTTTAACAATTGCATTTTAATGTTACGGAGCAACCAATAATGTTCTCGATAAATACTGTGCAATATCACATTATTATATTGTTGTTCATTATTGTAGACCTTATTGCCTTTAATGTAATGATGAAGACAATTGTTTAATAATGGATACCTATGACACATCAGTTATAATACTAGATCCATCATTATGCAGTTCTTCTTAGTATTATGATGAAGAATATTTCAAATGCGAAGAATGCCCTTCAAGATGTGAAACATGTCTTAATGAAATTGAATGTTTAACTTGCAAATACCCTTATTAAATTTTTATTACGAAGTGTGTATCATAATGTAAATTAAATGAATATTTTGATGAATTGACCTAGATTTGTGAAAGTAATAAGTTTATATAAACTTAGAATGCGATCCATTATGCAAACAATGCTAATTGAAAAATAAATGCGTCAACTGTGATTAAACTATGTTTAGATATTTATCTTAAGAATAATGTTTATGCTTTGACGGTTATTATGATGACAATGTTAATCTTGAATGTTAAGTCTGCGATATATTATGTGCTAAATGTTTTGGATCATCAAATATGAAATGTTAGGAATGCATCACTGTAGATAAAGTTGAAAAATTGGGCAATACTTGTAATTGTAAAAGTGGATATTATTTTGACAAGACCAATTCGAAATGTATACTATGTCATAATAAATGTGAAAATTGTTTTTCATCTTCCGATAACTCTTGTCTTAGTTGCAACAACTCTGAAAATAGAATATTAGATGGGCTACGTTGTTCCTGTTAAACTGGGTACTTTGAACTGAATGATATTTGTGAATCTTGTCCAAGTATTGAAAATTCAAGTCTGTATTAATGTTATAAATAATGTGGTGATAATTCTACAATTTGGTTTAATTAAGTTTGCTCTCCTATTTCATGTTTGGTTGGTTTTGCAAACAACTACAATTAATGTTTTCCTATATGTGGAGATCAGATTAAAAATGGCAATGAGGAATGTGATGATGGCAATAATATTTTAGATGACGGTTGTTACAATTGTAGATTTTAATGTCCTTAATAATGTTTGAATTGTAATCAATTTACAATATTACCTTGTTCAGATGTTTGTGGTGATGGAATCATCAGTGGGTCAGAAGAATGTGATGATGGTAATCAAATCTAATTCGATGGTTGTTTTAAATGTAAACTTGAATGCTAAATCTAATGTACATAATGCATGAGAGGTTTATGCTATTAATGTCTAACATATGGTTGGAGTGTTGATATTAATTCGAAAACTTGTATTGAAAATTGTGGTGATTATATTATTGTTGGAAAAGAATAATGTGACAATGGATACGATTTTGACCCTAATGATGGATGCTATTTGTGTAAGAGGTAATGTAGAGATGACTGTTTAAGATGTAGTTCTGATGGTATAACTTGTCTAGAATGTAAGGTATTTGGATTTTAACCGGTTAGCTATTACTGTAAAAATATATGTGGAGATGGCTATTTAGCAATCGATCCTTTTTATAGAAACACTGAGGAGTGTGATGATAATAATTTAGTTAATTTTGATGGTTGTAGTAATGAATGCAAGTTCTAATGTTAAACAACTCTTTGTAAGACCTGCGTAAATAATAAATGCCTCGAGTGCATTGATACTTATTAATTAGATCAAAAGCGTAATAAATGCATCGAACGATGTAATGATAATATTATTGTCGGATAGGAAAAATGCGAAGACATGAATAATTCACTTTATGATGGATGCTACAATTGTCAATTATCTTGTCAACCAAGTTGTTAGAATTGTACTATAAATGGTTGTTAATCTTGTTTAAGTGGATTTCGATTAATCGGTAATCAATGTTAAAGCATTTGTGGAGATGGATTAAAAGTCCCAGGAGAAGATTGCGATGATGGTAACTTAGAACCATTTGATGGCTGCCATGGATGTAAATACTCATGTGACTTAACTTGTTTGATATGTTATTTTGGTTAATGTATAGGATGTCGATTTGGTTATATGATGTATAAAGGGTTTTGTGAGGAAATATCATCTTTCTACAATTAAAAAATATACTTAGAAGGAAACTTATATTAGATAAATTAGAATCGATAAAGTTATGGATTTAATGAATTTTGTAAGGAGGCCATTAACGATGCTTGTTTAGTCTGTGAAGACAATTTTTATTTAAATACTATAACATCTATTTGTTAGAGTACATGCGGAGATTCTAAAATTAATGGATATGAATAATGCGATTACGAGGAACCTATAAATAACATTATTTGTAACCAATGCAAATTTATCTGTAAGGAATATTGTGTATTTTGCTTATTTGGATTATGTTTATAATGTGAAGAAGGATATTTTTTATAATTGACAATTAATTAATGCGAACAAGTGGTAGAATGCAATGACATTGGATTATATCCAGATTTAATGAACAATGTTTGCTATGATATATGTGGAGATGCTCTAATATCAAAGGGAGAATAATGTGAAGATTAGAATGATATACCTTACGATGGATGTTATAAATGTAAATATTCATGCCATCCTGCTTGTCCTCTATGCATTTTAGGAGAATGTGTTGATGACGGGAATGCATGCAGTGTTGGTTATTATTTTGATACTTAATAAGTACAATGTTTCAACATATGCGGAGATGGAATAATAGCAATACCTGATGAAGAATGTGATAATGACTGGTTTTTCGATGATGAAGATTATCAGTGTTAAAATTGTAAAAAAATTTGTAATAAGAATTGTGAAATTTGTGATGAAATTCAAAAATGCAGTTTATGCAACAAAAATTATGAACTATTAAATGGAAAATGCTATCCTAAAGACTAGAATCATAATCTATGTTTAATAGAGAATTGCAAATATTGTGAGGATTCTTAATGTATCATCTGTTCAACAGATTATGTCTTACAACCATTTGAAAATATTTGCTAACCTATTTGTGGTGATGGAATCGTTCTTGAAGGAGAGCTTTGTGATGATGGTAATAGTATTAATGGTGATGGTTGTGATACAAATTGTAAACCATCCTCAGATAGCCAATGTGTGAATAATTAATGTATCTATGTTTCACACCCAAAGCCTTAATTGAAATTTGCAAAAGAAATGGATAACTCTTAAATTGTATATTTAACTTATGATTAATAAATCAAATTATCAGTCAATTATTCGATTCAAATGTTTATCAATTCCATCTCATCAAAAATAAATGATAAAGATGCAAATGTATCGTTTTCTGAAATTGGTTCACTAGATTAAGAATCTTGTTAAGACTTTCAAATGGAAATAAAAATCTAATATGAGGAAATAATAATTGATCCAATATTTTCTATAGCCTTTGCTGATCTTAATATAATCACAAATGAATTTGGAAAAATATCAAATGAAGTTGAAATCTCAATTTAATTACCATCCCCAAATGTTTTATCTGAAAAACAATAATAAATTACATAATCTCTTATAAAGTTTAGTGGGTATTAAATGAAAATAATAGCAGGTCTTATTGTATTATCATCCTTAAGTGGTAAATTTGAAATTATTCAAAATTAAATCGATGTTATTCAATAACTATACTATTTAAAATATATAAATAGTAGAAAAGGTCAAAATTTAATATAATATTTTGAAACTTTTAAGATTATTTAACTTGCTAGTTTTTATGATTTTATTGGATTCAATCCCTCTAATAATTTATTTTTTGGATTATCTTATTAGAAATCAGAACGGATTTTTGAAGAGGATGGGCGTAATGCAAACTATTTCCCTAATTTCATCTAAATTTCTACAGTTTTTGTTTTTGCTTATTTTACTCATTAATCAATTAAGATTTTAATTAAATACACCATGAATAAAATTAGGATGTTGAAAATTGTGTATTTCAATTTATACATATTATATGGATTAATAACAGTCACAAAATTTTCAATAAAAAATTGGAAAAATAAGTTTAGTTAATAGTTCTAAAGGCTGCTTTAAGCACTCCTTTATGAATACACAATATCCTCTTTCTTATCACTAATATATTAGGATTTTAATTAAGTTGAAGGAAAATTCAGTCTAATAGTTAATGGAGTTGTCATTTATCTATTAATTTATTATTTATTATACTAGAAGCATTCAAACAATAAATTACATATTCAATTTACTTATTCATGTTTATAAAAGATACTGTTTGGAACAATCCTTATTGTTTGCTTTAAGTCTACAATACTATAAATTTAGTTATGTGCTTTAAATGAATTCATTTATTTTTACCATTTATTTAAATAAACGAAATAAACTGAGAAATTTGAATTATTCAAAAAATAATAGACTCATTTTAATTTATTTGTCATAAATATCATGTTTTTGATAAATGAATTATACAAGGATAACCCTTTTAAGATAATTTAAATAGGATGGATTATTGTTGCCTTAATGAGTTCAATATTAAGCATAACTTTGTTGGTTGATATTTGCAAAATACTATAACCATTTGCATAAAATCTAATAGATAAACTAAAACCATAGAAACCAATTTTTTAAAATCATGAAATATTGGATCAAATTTAATAAAGAAATATTTTATGATTAATTGTTTTAATAAATATAAAAATGTTCAATAATCATATCATCTAGATAATTGAGGGTGTTGATATATTTTTAATCTTCTTATTCTTTCAGTAGTAAAATTAATTGAGATAATGTTATCTCTATTTTAAATATTCATTTTTTTAACTCTAGTAATAACCAACACCAAGGTTTTCTGATCTAATACTTAATATATCAAATGAAAATAAATAGCAATCACTAAATACAGATAATAAAGGTAACTATAATTAGAATTTTTATATATTTATGAGTAAATATAAACTATAAGTTTAATTCTCTCACCGATCTAAACAATTTTCTTAATAAGAAAAGAATGTAACTGTGTTGCTTTTCACATTAATTTCAACATACTTATGAAAAATTTATCTAAAATTATTAATTATTTATAAGTTTGAATTTTGAATTAGTTAACATGTCTACAGTTCCACCGATAAAATGCCCGACACATAAGGATTACTTCATAACCAATATGTGCATATTGAAATAATGCACTGAACCACTCTGTCCTGAATGCATACCAAGACATATCAAGGACCACGCTGCAAATGGATAGATTCCATAGATAGAAAATATATAAAATGTTAGATAAGAATAAAAAGCAATGGTCTTCGACATAGTGCAGAAGTTGAATGAATAAATGTTTTTATTAAGCAGTACAGATGAAATGGTGATAATGAATAATTTGTTTATGAAGTTAGAATAAACAAAACAAGAAATCATAAAATCAATAAATAGGAGATTTGATGATTATAAACAAGAGTTATAGAACAGATTTCGAGAAGTTAAAGGCAGTAAAAATGATAATAGCAAAGAAAGTGTTGATTTAGTGAAGACAGTATTGATTTTATGAATATAATTTAGTAATTACAGAAGATGGATATTTTGCTTAATAAATTTGAAAGCAGTGATTACATTTAAGCAATTTTAGAAACCTTTTTTAATGACATTGGTCCATAAATATACCAAAATTTAGACAAGAGATGTTAGGAGTATTAATAATAATTTCCAGATATAATGATTAGCAATAATGTTCAAAATCTACTATTACAGGATTTGGATTAATATATATAGATATGTAATAGAAACTAGAAATAAAGAATGGTATCATTGAGAGATCAAGAAATTGTATAATAATTAACGGGAGAAAAACCAACTCAAGTCCTAAATTAATTCTAATCATCTCAAATTAAGAAAGAAAATTAATCTGAGATAAATCCAAATAAGGAGAGTAAGTAATTATTGAAAAATAATGTTTACACCAAGTCTTATTAGAGTAGTTAAAATTAAAATGTAGCTAGGGAATTTCCCCCCTCACAAACAAATTTCAAACCATAATTTGTACATAATACCTCTGAATTAATAAAAGCTATGTAAGATGATTAAGTACAATAGTTGAAAATAGTAAGCCAATAACAAAATAGTTTTATCTCAAGCAGCGAAGAAATCTTAGTTAGTTGTTACGCAGATTAAAGAAAAATATTGATATATAGAATGCCTAAATTCATACAGCCAATGAAAAATTTAAATATAACTGATTTTTAAGAGATTAATTTGATTCTAGATAAGAGGATTGCAGTTGGACACTAATGCATAATGTATGGAAAAGACATATTAATAATTGGAGGAATTGAAAGAGATATTGATAGGAACTTAAGTATTTAGTCAGTGTACAAGGTTAATTTGATTTAAAAGACCTTAAATTTACATTCAAATATGATTCATAGAAGATAAGGATTTGGGGCTTGCTTAGTAGACGCGTGCATTTATGTTTGTTGTGGATCATCAACAGATTGTGAAGATAGTAGTATTAATACTCTAGAAAGATTTGATGGCCAGAGGTGGACTCCTTTGAGATCCTGTATGCATGCTTGTACTGGATGCTCATTAGGAAACATAAATAATGAATATTTAATTAAAATAGGAGGAATTGATAAGCAATATATCAATATCTAAACAATAGAGGTTTATTCAATTAGACAGAACACTTGGTTTGATTTGTAGATATATGACAGTCAAGGAAATTTGTGGAATGAAATACCGTTGCATAGTGGAATAGCATAGATAAACTAAAATGAGTTGATGGTATTTGGTGGTTAAATAGGTGAGGAATTCACTGATAAGTCTTATGTAATTACTTTGGATTTCACAACAAATACAATTAGATCTGGAATTGTTAAAAGGTATTATATTTTAAAATCACATTTAGAGGATTTCAAGTGCCCACTATCGGATATGTCGATTAAGTAAAGGTGTATGAGAATTCCGTTTACGCCATTATGACCGAAGGTATACATCTAGTTGGAACCAAGAAAACAGTCATTAATTGCAATAGTGATAAATGGATATATATTAATAATATTAATGAGTGATAAATTTCATAAATTAAGCAGCAAATGGACTATATCTGAGAAATATAATGCTAGTTAAAATGTAGATTATAAGAGGACTATTGTTGATATCTGTTCTTTTTCAACAGTTGAAGAATTAGGATTTTTGATGAAGAAGACAATATATTCAAAATTATCAGATATGTTAAGTGAACCTTTAAAATGCAAAATGTATTAAAGTCCAATATGATAGATTTAAATAATTTAATAATGAGAATGGAGATACTTAAATTGAAGCAATATAATTTTATAAGGATGATATCAAACCCTTTGTGGGAGGATGAAAATAATAAAAATGGTGGAGAGATTCAATTTGACATTTCAACACAATATTACACAGTTTATGATTAAATTTATTTGGATATTCTATTATAAATTATAGAATAAGCTACTGAAGAATTAAAACACGTAAAATAATCCTAAGAATTTAGATTAATGGATTAAGGGTTTTAGACAGAATTCCTAAATAAGGCAATAGAATAAGAATTGAATTGTGGATGGATATTGATCCAAAGGATTAAGATGAGTCTATTCGGAAGTTAATTGAATGGATCGATACTACATTAAAAAAACACTAAATTGATATTGATTAAAGTTAATTTAATAAAGTGTCCCATAAGAAATGAGAACTTAATTTTATAATATATAATTATTAATTATAAATATAGGCAGTTAGCAATTTACAAAGAATCCTTCTAATACAATGTTAACTGAAGTACCCAATCCATAGGTAATTTTTATTAATTGATAATAATTGAGTGAAAACAAGGGATGATAAAAGATGAATATTTTATAAGTTTGAAAAATGAATTTACTATTTTAAAATTTTGAGGAATAAATTTATTAGCAAATTGGAAATAATTAACAAACAATAATTCTAAACCTTTTCATGAACTACTAATTTGATTCTGAAGTAGGCAACTGTTAAGAGTATATAAGATTTAGTTTTATTGTTACTTTGGGAGACACAAATACTGAAATTATTGCTGACAGGCAATTAGTGTAAAAATTATTTATGCATTGCTAAAGATATTAATTGAAATAGTATTAACTGTGTGAAAAATTATATGTGAGTGGGAAGCATAAGAATTAACGACGATTTCTAAATATAGCAACTACAACGATAATTAATTATTTAAGATGTTATATAAATAATCAGATTTAATACAAAATATAACAGTTCAAAAATACACTAAAGTATAGAATAAACTCTCATAGATAGCATAGTAAACTACAACAACAAATCTTGACAAATCATTCATTCTGTTATGCGAATCGATAAATTCGATTTCGCATTTTAATAAAAATTGCAACCTAATCATAAGAAAATTATAAAACAAATATATGATATTATGTATTTGCTATTCTTTTATATTAAACAATTTAAACTTTATTCTTATAAATTTTTTATACATCATTTGTTAAAATTGATTTTCTATTCACATTGAGAAATTAATCCACTTAAGAGATTAACTGCTAATACTAGCAAATTGAAAATTTAGTTGCATCCTTATTGTGATAATACAATTAATCTTGTAATGTCAATTTATTACGACTATAATTCCTTTTTATGAATCGCAATGAGGATTCAATAGTAATATTAATAATATCTATTATTTTTGGATAACATACTTAGAGAGTACTATGCTAAAATTAATTATATATTTTAAGTTTATACTTGAATAATTTAAATTTTTATATAACGATGTTTATGCATTAGATACCAAAATAGAGAGCGAGCCAGGTAATAAAAAATGCAATTTAAAGGAGAAAAGGTTTGAATAGACATTTATTATGTAGAGCGCAAAAATGTAATGCAAGAACATTTGGAGAGATTAGCCAATAAATTAGAATACAAGGTTTATCCATACCATATAACTCACTATGATCCAGCTCATTCTGATTATATTCCAGCTCAGAGACAAGATTATAAATAAAGATTGGCAGTGGATACTCATAACATGCTTATTGATGGAGTAAAAAGGGATGTGACCATGTAAAAATAAGTTGATGAAGCAATTAAGAACTTAGATAGACCATATTTAAAAGGCAAACACGGAGTTACGAAGAATATTACAGGTGGTCTCAGAGATTACTTCCCTATTTAAATAACATATGGATAAACAGGAAATCTTGAGAATGAGGAATTGGAATATGAAAATGTGTTTAGAAATGAAAAAAGGTGGATTGCTTAAACTATTTATCCAGTTGAAAAAACTGAAAGTGATAAGAGACATGAAAAGGAATTGGAATAGAGACCTGTGACTAGAAAATTTCATCCAGATAAAGGATCAAAATATGATGTTGAGACTCCTTATCATTTAAGATTCCCATATCTTGCAGATAGATTAGGACATCCAGAATTTTTGGCTAATCCATTTCAGAGGTTGTTTAGATTAGAAAGTGATATGTATCATCCGAGTTATAATGATTAACCATTTGTTTAACATCCATCAGCTGATCCAGATCCTGCTTTGAATTTTGAAGAAGGAGAAGTGATCTATGAGAACACAAGGTTATAGGAATGGTTGAAACTTGTATGGTGGACTGGAACATTTAGTTTTGCTTGGATTTGTTGGGTGTTACCATATAACATTGTTTATAAAACAAATCTAATGTTTGATCATTAAATTGATGCCTCCTTTTACCCTTATCATTTATAATCTATCTATAATATGGATTACATGAGAATCAATGTATTAGCTGCAACTGCTGCTTCTGCTTATCTATGGTATTTCCATCATATGTCTATGAATGATATTGGAAGGAATTATGTTACAAAAGTACAATACAATAAAGATAAAGAAATGATATTTGTTACTAGGATGGGTTCATTCGGTGTTATTAGAGAAGATGTATTTGAAACACATCATCTTGAAGTATTGCCATACTATACCCGATCTGGTGTGTAGAATATGAGATAAAATGTATATCCTCATTTAAAACTATAACTTAGGATTTAGGAATGTATGAGTTGTCTTGCTTGAATAAATAGGAGTTGATGTACTTGTATAAGGAAGATGCTTTCTGGAATCCTAAATTAAAAACCCAATTTCTGACGAATCATACTTAATTGATATCCAAATAATATTTTGGATTAAAGAGGTAATTATCAAATCTAAGTTTAAAATAGGAATGAGTAAGAAGAATATGAAAAGACTTAAACTATAGGGGAACTACCATTAAAAGATTTACCTGCTCCATGAATTATGATTCATATGCATATTTTAAAATATTAATAATGGACGTTGATGTAAAACAAGGTCGCCTAAAACCAGTCCGCAGAAATGGACTAGTGAATGGAATCAATCCTTATTAATCTCTGAGTTGGATATACGCTCTATTCGATATAGTTATAGCATACATATTTGCTTTCCAATTCGAAGATCAAGGAGTTAAGGTATTTATGATTTCATTCAGGAACTCCAATTGATACTTCTTACAGTAATAGTTACTTGCATCACTTATTCTTGTCTTAGAGCCACATTAATAGATCCTACAGATTCAGTCGTAAAGGAAGAGCAATTATCAAAACTACTTGGGTAATATTAAATAATTGATATTCAAAAAGCAAAGAATTTAAGACAGATATAAAATCATATTGTTTGGTATGCTAAGCACATGTTTAAGAGAAAACAAAACATTGTTGGACCTGTAATAAGTATAAAATTCTAGTTATTAGATGCGTATCAAAATTTGATCACCATTGTATTTGGCTAAATAGTTGTATTGGAGACTAGAATTACTTATATTTCTTTATTCTAGTGTCATCCTTAGTCGCACTCAAGTTATTCAGATTAGGCTAAGATTTTAAATTGCTTTATCTTTAAACTAATTTTGAGATTTTAGTTTATATTTGTATTTCGGTAGACCCTCCTGTATTTATTGTATTAACATACTTATTATCTATGCATCTATATTTCAAGTAAGCACCTTCCATTATTTCTAGATGGAACAATATATCTACTTACGAATACATCAAGTCCAAAAAAATATCTAAAGATCAAATGATAAAAACATAAATTATATAGAAAAAATAGATTCAGAATGAAAGCACTACTGGTTATGGATTATTATTATCAACATCAAAGCGTTTCGATTTGAAATCACAACTATCCTTAAAAACTGGAGATTAAAAGTCATCTAATCTAAACTATTTCTCGAATAAGCAAGAAGAAGACAAGAAAAACAATTAATAAACAGAACCATAACTCATACAAATTCCAAGCTTATTTACATCAAAACCTACTACTCCTGGAAATGATTAAGATAAAAATTAAAAGATTTCTGAATTGTCAAAACCAAAAGATTTGGATGATTTGAAGGACAAATAGATTTATAAGTAAGTTATAGTTGAGGATTCAGAACCATAGTTAAATGATAGTTCTGAAGATGATGATGATGATGTTGAAGATGATCATTTTAATCACGAGAAGCATCATCATTGTCCTCAAAATAGCCATACATCTGATATACCTTATAATCTAGAATAAATAAATCTTAAAGTCGATTAAGTAAACCAAACAGATATGGTGATCAAATAAGAATTAGAGTCCGTTCTTGATAAAGAATCAGTGAATTAAGAAAGTGAATCAAATTAATGGTCTCTTCAAGTTAACAAACCTCCTACACCTTCAAAATTTTATACACCTGCATAAGAATTACATGGTAATTAAAATACAATGATATGTCTAAATAACTAAAAGTCTTTATCAGATAATCGAACTCAATGAATTTTGATTTTAATAATAATTAAGTAAATATTTTTACGCCAATATATAAATGAATACTCCTCTTATTGAAAGCTCCAAGGTTTCAGTAAAGTGGAGAAAAATAAAGTGCTATTATGTAAAAATTTAGATAAAATTCGGATTAAACTACTCTAATTTTATCTGAATTCTAACCAGATCATTAAAATTTAATAGAAATATTTTATTTCAATGCTAAGACTAGCTTGGTGCCAATTTATTATATTTTTATCATTTGGAAAATTTTGTTTACAAAAGCCCCAAAAAGTAATTATTTGATGAAGCAATAAGAGGTCGGCCACATCAAATTGAGTTTTTATTTCAAGGATATCACTATGATTCAAGGAACTTGTATTTGATAAATGAAATATGACTCTCATTTAGATTAATGATATTATTGGAGATACTTGAAAAAAATTCTATCTGACTTTGAATTTGGAAAAGAACATAATATATAAAAAGATACAACAGGCTATGAATTCTAAAAGCAAAATAACAATATTTTTAATTATTTATATTTATTCATATATGAATTCCACTGAGATTATGAATGACTATGTGATTGAAAATTTGAAATGCTCATTTTTGAATTGTAGAGGGTAAGGTGAATTAATTCCTTCTAACAATAATTTTTTGTATTTTTATTAATAGCAAAATCCACATGTATTTAGAATGGGAGATTTACATTAATCTGATCAAATAAATACTTAACAAACATAGATTAAATTCATTTGTCAGGCGTGTAGCGATATTATGATGAGTTAGCCAATTCAGCCAATTGAATAAATAAAGAACTATATTTAGTTAGATGACTAATAATATGATATCTTTATAGAGAAAGATGGGAGAGATACTTCTAATCCTCCTAAGAAAGGCAAGTTTACAGAACAAAAGCAAAAGTGCAAAAAATGCTTAGAAAATGAAGATAAGATGTAGGATTTTGACTAAAATCTAAAAAATCAATTAAGTAGAAACAATTATGATATAGATACTAAGATTAAGATTGCAAGATATTATGCCGAAGAATAAGTATAATATTTAATCATTAAAACAAGTATAAAAATGATAAAAAAATGTTTGAAACTTTGAAATAAAAACTAAGACAAGGTAATTACTAGGGAAAAATTGAACAACTAATGATTTTGAATAAAATGAAAATGATAATGTAGAAATATTAATGAGGATAATGAAAAATAATTATTAAAGAAAAATAACAATTATAATTATAATCATTTACTATTTATTTTATTAGAAGGTATAAACTTTTATAAAACTCTCTTAAATTTATTGAACTCATGTTTTTATTAATTAATTTTAACAGATTCAATGTATTTCGAAATAATGTAACTACAAATTCTATTATTCTAATTTTAGAGTGCTTCTATATATTTAAGATGGTTATCATTAATAGATGAACAAGAAAAGAAGAAAAAATAGTCTTAACTTCAATTAAATAGTGTCTGAAGCGAATTTGAGTTGCTTTGAGATTAATAAAATATTTGACAAAAAATCTTAGAGACCATAAAATTGTTATGATTGTTCAATCCACTGCTGATAGAGTTGGCGTTAAAAGGTTGAAGTATGTACATCACCACATTCTGATTAATGATGAGACACTTATTGTTAATATAATTCCATCAACTTTAGACATACCAGCATGAAATCTAGAACTGAGCTAGATTTTTTTGCAAAAGACCTTCTATAGATTATCTTTGGATTAAGGATAGGAAGTCTTTTGCAATTTGAAGATGATGTTATTCTGTTACATCTTTTGTAAGCATTAATAAATATAGAAATTAGTAAAATGATCTTCATGCTAATTCCTTAAATATGAAATATTATTGACTTGATTCTAATTATAGTTAAGAGAAGCATTTCATTTTGGAAGAAAGGAAAATGAATTCTTTTGGCATTGTTTCAGAAGAATGATTTTAAGGAATGAAAGTGTCTTCATATATAAAAAATAAATATGAAATTGAATATAAATAATAAATATCAAATATATTTTTAATAATATTAAATATGATTGATATAATATTAACAAATAATAATGCATAAACATAATATGCATAGTGTAACTTCGCATAGAAGGATTATTTCATCCTCCATAAAACCTTCAGTAAGTCGAATAACAAGTGCACAATCCAGATCTAAATCAAACAACATGATTGTCAATCAAAGTCCTTTAGGTTTTTTCTTAGAATAGGCTATACCAGCCATAACAGAGAAATCTAATGTTCCTTTAAAGATTATGGAGAAGTATTTGGAAGAAGGGTACTTAATAAACAACCATGAGTCAATTGTGTCCACTTTAAAACATGTATCAGGAGAGGTAAGGAAATTTTTATAGTATAATTTTATCTACGTTTAAGATCTTCCTAAATCATATTAATTTTAGGAGAAGGATCCTAAATTATTGTTTCGCATGTATGAGACTCTAATAAATTTAGATCAAACTATAATTCAGGATCTATTTGATAAAAAATAATAACTGGATGACTCTGATCTTAGTAAACAGCATCCTAAACATAATTTTAGATTTGATATTTTAATTAAGTTCATTGAAATAGTGAGTGATCTTGTGGCTTGCATAATAAAAATAATAGATGACAAAGCCATTGCAATATTTATTGAATAAATTTGGAAATCATTGGTTATGATTTTAGATTTGAATACTCAATGGCAACAAGATCGTTTTCAATCATTGGTCGATGTGTAGATAGAAGGCTATTAGCAAAGTTTAGAATAAATAAAAAGTGAGTATAAATAATTGGAAGAAAAGTAACAAATGCAATTACGAGCATATTAATTAAAACTTGCAATTGAATAAAAGAAGAATATCTCATTGAGAGAAGAGAATAAGAAAATTTGCCAATAATATAACCATTTAGAAGATCAGATAAGTGAACTTAGCAATATAGAAAATGCCAAAGGTGATCTTTAGAGCATTAATCAAAAATTACATGAAATGGACTTAAATTTCATTAAATACAACAAATATATCTATGAATCTCATTAATAAGCCTCCACTTCTATGAAGTAATTAGCTAAAATATTGACATCTAAACCAATTATACCGAAAACTTTCATACAATAAAAACATGAATAACTTAACATCTATTATAAAGATCAGAAACCCTGTGTTGAATTGATGATCAATCCATTAATATCCTAAATTGAAATAGAGTTTTATCATGTGGATCAACAAAACAAGAAATAATCAGCCAGTGATTTTCTTCAGTTTCTATTTCAAAATCTCAATGCTTATCCTTCCTAATCAAGTGTTGAACTCTATTTAATATGGATTCATGCTGATGAATAGCAATTTGTTAATTGTCGTATAGATCTGTTAAATAAATTGAATCAAAATAATAACAATGATTATTATATCAATGCATGCTAATAAATCCTGGGAATCAACACATAATCTCCCTCATCTCACAAAGTCATAGAAGACACTTAAAAATACATTAAAATTATAGAACTAGCGTTATTGTAGTAAGCAACACAAAACTAAAATTAACAAAGATCTAATTTATATCTTAAATAATCCAGTTTAATCGATTTTGAATTGGAAATTAATTTAGCAAAGTATAGTACTTATGGTCTATTACTGTAGTTATTCAATGATATTGCCTCAATAATTACATGAATACATAGAACAGACGTGTCCATCCAACATGAAATTAATAGAGTTTACACATCAAGCTATTCTATTCCTCTAATAACAAGAGAGACTTAAATGGAATTCCTTTGCTAAGTTTTATTTGAACAATATCAACAAATTCAGTTATCGATTAGATGTAATTGAGTAGTTCTACAATATAGATGTATTCTTGGTATACAATTGTTATTTATCATTAGATTTGGTAGTTGATAATTATTCATTAAAGATCTATGATAAACAAGAAATAAGATGAAGTAGTATCAATTGAAGATTTCATTGAACGTCTATATCAATTGTGGGTCTATCATCCAAGATGTTTAATAAAACCATAATAAGAATCGCAGTTGACTTAGTCGAATTCCCCAATAGCTAAAAAATCATTAGCACAATTTTCTTAATAAAAATAAAGTCCTCAAATTAGAAAACAAGGGACTATGCTATCCGAAACTTCTCGGAAGAAATGATTAGTATTAATTTATTTTTTAAGCTTTATCATATAAGCAAAAATAATAAAGATAATTAATTAAATAATATTAGAATGAGAAATAGTCTTATTTAAGAGAAGTTACTTTAATATCATAACAGCTAGATGTCAGATGTACTGAAATATTTGTTGAACTCCAACAGTAAAATAACTAATCAATCCACAAAGTTACCTCCATTATCTATAACAGAATCAATAAAGAATTCACCAAAACATAAAAGATCACGAATATATTCCTTAAATCAAGACATCACTTAATTTGAAACCTCTAGAATTGATTTAACTTAACAAATTGAGAATGGAGATTATACATTTAAGGATTAAATTTAATAATCTACTGCAAAATATCCAAAATTGAGGATGCCAGAATAGACTGAGAGATCTATAGATGCAAGTCCTTCGCTTTAATCAAATAAAACACTCAAGGTAATTCAAAAATGAATAGAAGTTTAAATATCCTTCAATGCTAGAGTCAATCAGATACAAAAAACAAAACTATCTCAGCTAATATTTGGAAGAGAATGTCTAACTATTTTGTGAACTTATCAAGAAGAAAGATCTAGAAAAATTGATCTAATTTTTAAATTATCCCATCCAATATTCATAGGAATTAAATGTAACTTTGATGTAATATCATTTTAGTAACTTAAATTATTTAACGAATTGTTGTTTTTTGTGGCTTATTTTGCCAATACAATTGTGTCTTTGAATAAAGCAGCATATTTATTAAAGGATTGTCTGAAGGTATCAGAATTAAGTAGAGATCATACCTTAAAAATTAAAATTTTAATTCAATTTTACCTTATTGCCAAACAGTATCAATATTATTATAATTCATTTTATAGATTGAAATAATATGAATAAGCTCGCAAGTTTATACAAAAAGCATTAAATTATGCTTGGGCTGATAATCTTGAAGAATATGAAATTGATTGTTATGATAAGTTGGGAATGTGCTATTTTTATATGGGCAACATAAACAGAGCCAATCATTTCCACTCTAAATGGGCTAAGTGTGATGTTGAACCTAAAAATTCTTATTATAGATTAACATCCAAGGATTTTATTAAATTATATGAAAAATAATTGCCAATTTGTAAAGAATTTGATGATGTTATTTCAAGATATCTACATGTTCCCTTCATCAATATTAAAACAGGGTAAATGTTTGATTCACACTCAACTATCAAATATAATAATTGCATTGCTCAATCGATTTTAGATTCAATATTGTAAGGAACAGATTTCCTATAATTTCAAATTGAATATCATTATATTGATATCAAAGCCAAATAACATTTAAATAAAGCTGCTTTGCCTAGGAGAGCTGTGGAGATTATGGCTAAGTATGAGAAAAATAATGACAAATATTTATTCGATCACAAAATTCATGAAAATCCAATCTATAAATTATCCTTACAGGATAGAGTTAACTACAGAAAAACTAAATCCTATTCACTTGATTAGGTATCAAAAAATATAAGAAAATATATTGCTGAACAAAGAGAACCATTCTAAAAGAGTGATAAAGTTTATGTTAAAGAGTCTTAAAGGAAGGATCTGATTCCCTAAAATGCAAATTAATTGTCATTAAGTTTTAAAAAGATGTTTCAGAATATCATTAACTTAGAGTGATTACATATTTCTTATACAAAATTATTATTATAATTATAAAATTGTGTAATGCAAATTAATGATAAAAAGACTTCCAAAAGTAGGATACTAATAGAAATGATCAATAATTATTAAAAACCTGTTTAAGAGATTATGCTCCTTGAAAAATCTAAATTGAAATCAATTTAAAATATAGAGGAAAGATTTCTTAAGAGTGAGACAAATAGATAATATGTGTTCCCTCGAACAGAAGAAGAAGAATAAATAGAGTGCAAGGAATCTCCTAAATAATAATAGTAATTGATCTCCCTTGATAATATCACAAATACAAAAGCTTTCAAAGAATTGATGAATAAAATATATTAGATTAATACTTCAAAGCAGAAGCCTAAAAATTATTAACAAACAGAATTCATCAAGAAATAATATTCTATTCAGTCACAATTGATAAGAAAACCTACCCAAAAATAATCAAATTAAATTAAAACTGAAATGTCTGATATTAAATAAAATAGACAAGATAATTCCAGTTTTAAATAAATGTCTATAACTTAGTCAAGAGGACAATCACCACATAACAAGCTTCAATACTCTAATAGATCAATAAGTTCTTAATTGACTAAATTTTTAAAGCAAAAGAAAAATTGTCCTTTTGAGACTTAAGATCAAAACTCACAAAGAAGTTTTGAATTAAGATAACAATTATTAAATAAATCTTAAGTCAAGTTATAACAAAATAAAAGTTATGATTTTGTGAAATCATTTTACAAAATGAAGATGAAAAATGAAAGTAAGATCAAATGATTATATATGAAATTAGATTTTCTCTAATAATCCTTTTATTAAAATATTAATTCTAGATGTAAATTGTAATTTTATTCCTCAACCTCAACAAATTGTAATCTATTTTATCCCCCCTTAATTATTTTTATTCACCCATAGAATTCCTTCTAGGTTATTTCCTAGTTTGTGTTAGAATTAGTTGATATGAATAATATTCTTATCAAATTCTAGTATTATTATTTGGTAAGATTTAAGTTTAAAGAATAAAATCAATTGCTTTTAGAGAATAAATTTACACTAATGTCCCTTAAGAGAGAATATACTTGTATATAATGCTTTTTCTAAACTATATGAATTTGAATGAAATTTATTCGTTAGATAATACGTTAATTAACTAAATTAAATGGTGTATTAACATATATATTTCAATCTGTTAATTCATCTGACTCATTTAGGATTAGTCCATTTTCATGGTAGTCTCTTTCTTGAATGGCTTTGGCATCATGAAATGTTCTTTGAAGGATAGTGTGAGATAAAACTCCAATTCTAAGATCCATCTATTTGATTTCCAACTATTAAATAGTAATTATAATGCAGATACTCTCAATTTAGTGAGACTAGCTTTGATACTAATAACAGGAGATTAGTTAGTAGAGACACTACCATGTTCATTCAATTTATTTTAAACAGTTTCATATTTCTCTTATATTTGTTTATATTAATCCGTCATTTCCTTTTTAGCATTTGTGTAATTCTGATATTAGAGTTCAATCTTTTTATATTCTTCATTTTTCTTTTTGAATTCAGTGCACTAGAATTAAGTAGATTGCTTACCATTTCACTCATATTCTCATTGATATTATATTCTCTTTTTGTAATTCTATCTAAGATTTCTCCCAATTCATCACTCATTCTCTCTAATTTGATTCTAGCTTCTGGGAGAATAGTTTTAATTTAATTTGAGTATTATTTGGTGGCATCAAAATGTTATCTCCATTCTCCAGCATCTGGTTTGATAACTATCTTAATCTTTTAAGCTGCTCTTTCAACTTCCTTAGCCCATTCCTTTGGATTTACATTGGATTCTATAACCATTTTGTCTTCGCTTTTAGATTTAAATATTATAGTTACTCTTTTTGGAACCCCTATTCAGTAAATACATCTTCAGGCTCCTCTTCTGATGCTACCTCTGGATCTGAATCTGATGACACACTTCCTGTTTCTTAAACTGGTTCGTCATCTTGTCTTCTAATGGATTAGGATGGTTGATTACGTTTAAGATTATTACTCAATTTTGGCTTTCTTGTATTAGAATTTCTTTTTTTGCAACGCTTTGGTTGCTAATTACAGCAACACATAAACTACATATTCTCCAAATCCTTATTTCAATTTAAGGGGAGGAAAGTCAACTTCGATCCCAATATTTTTCAATTCATTTACTATTACATAAGTATAAAGAAATTACTTATATTCTGAGATAAAGTCACAGGATCATCAAGTTTGTTAAAATCACTGGTCTGTACATCGCTTTATTGAAATAGCCATTTGACTAATCTATTCAAATACAATTCAAAAGTTACGTTTTGAATTAATTGAATTATTCACTAGAATTGGTTTGATTTACAAAATATGCTCTATTCAAAGGTTTGCCACCTCTAATAATAGATATAGAATTTGACTTACTTCTATTTTAAATAACTTTGTTCATAATTCAATAATATTAATTTGTCATACAACTCATCCATCATTGCTGTTACATCCAATTAATCCTACAGAATTACAAATAATTGATTACTTAACCTGATTACTATTCAGACATTTATAAATTAATTAATATTTGAATATACTGTTTAATATATATATATATATTAATGTTCTCTCAAACTTACCAATTATGCAACATGATTTTTTGTAATGACAACAATGCATTCTCTCTAATCATCTAATCATCATTCCTTGCTTATTTCATAATTTCTTATTTTGCATTTAATTATTCTAAAACACTAATGAATTTATATATAATTATATTACACTTTACCAAATGGATGGAATCTACAAAATTCTCCCAAATCATAACAAGCCACAGCAATATTTTGGTTATTATTTGATTTTAAGATTTCTGCTAATTTCCTATACTCAACTCACAATTCAATTACCTAATAAGTAAGAAATCATTCTCTTCGAACTTCTTGACATTCTCCTTCCAGAATTTCTCTGTATGTACTGGACTCCAAGTCAAATTTTGAGCATTTAATTCCTTCACGTATTTTTCAAATGAACTAATATTCTTAATCTATCATAATACGTTAAAATCTTCATATTCTTCTCCAATATCTCTCCAACATATTTGATATCATCTATTAAATCTTAATCTTTGAGATTTCCTTTCAACAATAAATCAACCACTTTGATTAATCCATTGTCAACCATCAATTCAATGCATTAAGCTGATACATCAACCAAATTCTTGAAACAAGCAAAGGACACTCTCAAGATTTTTTCTCTTGATATCTTTTACACTGATTCTATAATCATTCTGATCAAACCAAGTTATGGCTCATTGAATAATGGAATTGATTCATTAGTGAAACTCAATAACCATAATGCTAAAATTGTATAATAAGCGATATGCAAATCTGTTGGATACTTGGTCAATAGATTAGATACACTATATATATAGATATATGATTATTACATCTTTACTCCACCACTCTTTATAAATTATATTGCTAATGAATCGTGTTTGAGAAAATGCACACATATTGGCATAATCATTTAATCGGAAATCTTTAGTTTATTTCCTAGATTTACAATATTATTTACCTATTCCTCCAATAAACAATATGACCCACTCTTTTGCATCATTTCCTCCTTCTTCAGCTATGATCATGGTGACTATCTTAGCTGCTGCTTCATACACCACTTTGTCATATCCATCAAGAAACAAGAATTATTTCAATTTAGGTACAACTTGTGGTGTCAATGCTCGCGTGAATTATTTGAACAGTCTCTGATTCTCTATGATCTCATTAAACAATTATACCAGATATTATTGCATCAATGGTGGTCAATATATATGTCATCAAAGGTTTATCATGTGCTACATTTTCGATTATATCCAATAGCATTTGAAATACACCAACAGAGTCAGTCTCTAATAATTTCTTTTGGTCTTATAACTAATGATTCAAATGAATCAATACTTTTGCTTGTGTAAATTTAATGAACATGTCTTTTGTGTCTTTCTTTATTGATTTTCCATGTTGATCCAATTGTTTGAAGCAGTCTTCGCAGTCCTTCAGCACTTTGTTTAGTAGTTATTCTTATTGATAAAATGTTATGGACTGACAGAAGTATTTCCTGTTTCTAAACATATATATTAATTATAAGATTTATATTGATTTTATATTTGATTTTATTTATATATTTTATAGACTACTCCAAATTGACTTATTATCAAGTTCTCTTATTCTTAAAAAGAGAATCAATGAGATAGCACTTATACAACCAAAGGTATTAATCGAAACTGAATTAAAATAGGTAAATATTTCATAACTAACAGAATTATATCATTTTATAAATCAAACCAAAGTGATTTGCACTAATAACGATTTGTTGTCACTTATTTGTACATTTATTTACGTTGAATCATTAATAAACTAAATTATAAATTGAAAAGAATACCTATATGCATTGGTAAATTGGAGTGTTGATATAATTGTACTTTTCTTCGTCATCTTTCGGCACCATCTATTTCATATAGAACACTTTTGCCCCTTGTTAAAGACTCTTTATTTCTTCTCCTACCATATTTTCTATTTGTTTCACTATGTATTACAAGGGTTCAGTCAATCTCTTGACCCCGAGTTTCAACTTAGTCCAGATTGAAATGCTTAATCCATTCTTCAATTAAAACTAATAATAATAATAAAAGTATAATTACCTTGTCAACTTCTCCTGGTTCACTCTACATCATAAATGGAATGGCAAGATTTAAGAATGTATTTCTATACTAAGATGAATTCAAGAGGATCTTAATCAATTCCAAAGTCTGTAGAGCAGCGATACATGAAGTCGTTGTGGCCATGGCTGGAATAATCTAGAGAAAATTCATAATAATTAATATTACTCTTCCTGCTTTTAATTTGGTCCACATCCAATCAACTTATTAGATACCATAATTTATTGCTCTGCCATTAGTGGCAGCAGTAATAAAGGACACATGATGGTTAGTGTCATCATCTTTTTCGAATTACTGAGGCTATGGCAATTTTGGTTTAACCTTACTCAATAATTGTTTAGCTTCTTTAATCAACTGATCATAATTTTTGACTTCCACTTCCATCTACTATTGCTAATTATTTTTATCTTATTTCTCCACTATCTCTTGAATCTTATTCTTTTTTATATCCATCTTGGGAATCTAAAAGTTCAATAGTATGAGATTCAAATCATATTTATTGGGAATTGCAATATTATAGATTTAAGCTGTTAATAGAGCAAAGTCCTCAACAAATTTGAAGGCAAATTCTCCATAGAATTCTATGGGCTTAGGAGGTCTCTTGGGAGGAGCCCAGAATAATTTACCTTCTTTGGTTACAGAATCTATGGGGTAGGCATTCATTAAGGCCAAGATGTCATTGTTGAAGAGCTTTTGGAATTTCAGCCTTCCCATTTATACACATTACTAAAATGTACTAGGATACTTCTTTAACACTTTGATGGCCAAGTCGACAGTTTATTATTAAGGAGAGGGATCCTACATTAATTGCACCAAAGCTTATGGTTTTCTAAAGAAATATTATTCGAATTTATCACGTGCCCATTCTAAACAGTGGATATTAGATTCTGGGAACATTCTCAAAGTGCAATAGGGGATGTCATTGTTTTATTCAGGATCTTATTTGCTTGCATAACTTTCGGTAACTTCAGGTATAATTGATTAAACATGTCCTTTTGGTCCCAAGGTACCACTTTCAATTAAAGACACTTTATTTTCAACGCATTTTGAATCAATAAAT